AACTCTAATCTAACAGGTATTTTGTCGCAAAACTTGTGAACTTAAGCCAAATTTTATGCTCTAAACCTTTCGGGGCGTGGAGTTCTCGATAAGATAAATAAGATATGTCACATAAAATCACTCTTCCTGAGCTAACTTATTCTAAGAATTAGCCAATCAATGATAGGGCTGTGGATACTTTTGACCACATCGAGTGAGGACGTCACATTTACACCCGGAAGGACAAAAAAGGATGCCACGCTGCACCATTCTCTACAAGAACAAATAATTAACAATTATTGGAGGAGGGAGAGAAAAGATAATATGTGTTTCGTCAGTTACGAACAAATCTATTATTGGTCTATGCCAAGGGCGATTCGATCAAGCTTGTTTTCGATCCTGATGCCAAAAACCAAGTTAAGGCATGCGCAGTCAACTTTTTCCTCCTTGATTCATCCGCTTTTCCCAGCCCTCTGGCGATTGAAGTGTGAGCAGAAAGTTCGCTCAATCGCTTTTAACTTGGCTCTGTGACCTTACCAACATGGTAGACAATACGTTTGACCGATCAGGTCAGGACAATTATGGGTTACTCGATAAATCTAGCATAACGGCTCAACTTGTGTTGAGTATCTATCATCATCACGAACTCTTTGCTATCGGGAGTTAGTTTTGACTGATAATTCCAAAATGAACCAGCTCCAACAATGGCACTGGGCCAAATCTGAAAGTTTATTGTTTCATTAGCATATATCGAAGTGTCCCAGTATAATTCTTCAATCAGGTCAACCCGACCTAAATTTTCCTACATTATTTTATGTAATCCCGATGGTTACCCCTATGCCGTGCTATTTTTCAATCCCGAACCTCGCCCCCTTTTAGTTTTGAAATCCCGAGTCCCAGCATTCAAATAAGAAAAGGCCCGCATCCCGAAAAACCTATTAAAGACCATCTGTATCAGGGCCTGATTCCAAGGGACGGGCTAGCCAAGTTTGCCGCGCTGGCTCTCTTTAGCAAGTTCGATTAACTGTATTCCGGAATAATAATACATTGAATTAACTCTTCAAATCGCTTGTTTTAGTTTTCATTAGATGGTTAAATCTAGAAATCTGGTGGGCACTTAATTCACTTAATAACTGGGTGTATTGTTTTCTGTTGATTTTATCGACAATTGGCTGACAAAATTAGTGGAGATAGTTTGTTCCAAAGGACCTCTCTAGCGTTTTACTGCCTGGAACTTATAAGTGGGGGGAGGGGGCTTATATTTGCGGGGCTAATAACCTGGTGTATTTTTTTTGTTTACAAGTAAATTGGCCCGTAACTGGGAGAAATTGTAAGTGGGGGGAGATGGGGCTTATATCCGGGAGGGGGGGCTTATAACTGGGTGTATTGTTTTGTTTACAGGTAAATGGGCCTGTAACTGGGGGAACTTATAAGCGGGGAGGACTCATAAGAGGAAATTTACTGTATTTACAACTAGAGATACTTACAATTCCACTCACTGACTCAGTAAACTGTGAATCGCTTTCGGGTCCAAACATCCACTACGCGTTAGGTAAGGTTTTCCTCGCTTGTACAGAAAGCACTGATCTACAAAGCAGTAATCATCAGTCCACATGGCCATCTCACCACCCAGAACAAATGTCAGCTCATCTGGATTTAACTTCAAAATAATGCAAACAGACACAACAAAAGATATGTTAAGGGTTATTTCGCGCTATTTGCTATCCTTTAAGCTAAAACGTGTCTTTGTACTAATTGAATTCCAACGATTAATGTTCTGGTTTTGTAATTTACTATTCACTGACTATTTTTCCTTTCGTCTGTTACCATTGTCCAATAATACATGGGATTAACTCTTCAAATCTCTTGTTTTAGTTTTCATTAGAAGGTAAAATCCAGAAATGTGGTGGAGACATAATTCTGTGCACATTACAAACAGTAATGTGCACCGTTTTCTGTTGTTGTTGAGATAGTTTGTTCCAAAGGGCCTTTCTATGGCGTTTTACTGCCTGGGAGGATAGAAATGGATTGAAACTTGAAAAAGTTGGGCCAACTTTAATACGATTCCTGCAAAAGTCACTTGTCAGTTATTTCCATTCAGATCTTTTGTACCACTTATACTATCAAAAGATTTCAAGCGTCAATGCATTATGTTAAAGATTCACTCATGTTCGTCTTCCTATTTCATTAGGGGGTTTAAGCAAAGGCGTTTTTGAGCGACGCAATGTCAACCGGAAGTGAGTCTTTTCTCTTTTAATATGCCTTGAAGCTGCCAAATTTGTATTGCTAAGTGTCTTTACTGATTTGCTCTTATAGAGACCATCGGCTTGAAAATTAGCAAACTCGTCCCTGGGGTCTTCTCGTTTTCAAAACCAAGAAGCCCCTAGGGACGAGATCGAACTAAAATAAAGACTTTTATTATAAATGGCAGTTACCCCGGCTGAAATGTTAGTCCATAGTGCACTAAAATCCACAAGGCTACTTAGGTAAAAATTGCCGCTCAGAGAGTTTATCCTGTCAAATTGAAAAACAAGATGGAAATGAATAATAATATAGACGAACCTCTCCGACGCAGATGGATTAATTAACATAATTAAGGGTCCGTAAAACGCCAAATATGTTTTTTTTCCCTTTATTATCAATATTTTGTTACGAGAGAACAACAGAACATAATGGACAAAGACCCTGAAACCGAGTCGGCGTTTTGGGTACCGCACAGTGAAACTTCTAACTCGCTAACTGTTTTCTTTTTGTGGAGTGGAAACTTTGTCCCTGTATCTCCACCTCCAGCAAGCATGACTTTAAAATTTTAACTTTACGAGTCCTACAAGATCAAAAATTGTTAATTTGTCAAAATTGATATTATTTATTATACAGTCAAGTTCCTTCCTTGCTTACACTTGAAATCCGCCGTCCGAAAGGGTTTTTACTACTGAGCCTTTCCATGCCTGGTGGAGCACTGTTCCATTGATTGCCTATGACGATTCTATCGTCCCGACCAGGAGCCCACCAGGGCTCCTGTCCCGACTAGCTGCCCCTGGGTCTCCGAGGATGGAATTATGTGTGCTTGCGAACGGAATCAAACAATGATTGTTGCATCACCTGCATGTGCATTCACGTGACGAACGTGATATCAGACGGACCTTAAACTCAACACCAGGGTCTTCGCGGCCACATACCATGCAAATTAGTTGGTACAACACGGGCATCCCAAGGATATGGAAAGATTTTGGAAAACCTTTCACATGACGTCACGGCGGCCATGTTGGTGTCCCAAACCAATCCTCTGGGAGTTGAACCCTTTTCTTATGCAAACGCTTTCTTTTGTTCCAATAAATTTGCATAGACGCTGGCCACGTGAATGATTACACTTGTCGCTCGCAAATACGTATAAACATAAGAAACAATCCGTACATAAAATAATGATGAGCGAAACCTTAGCAAAAAACACTTCTGACTTGTCCTTTAACTCTCAAAGCACACTAGTCTGGAAGTTTGCGGTATTGAATAAATAAAGCTAAATAATGAACACTTTTGCCTTAAAAATAGCTTCTGTGGGAAGAATTGATTACAGCCTGCCATCCACGGCACTGCAGATCTTTTCTTCCTTTGGTAACGAATATTCCCGAAAATTTCGATCTTTCGATAGTTGCGACGCAGCAACTTTAACCAAGAGCCTCTTGTTTAAATAAAGATTTCGCGTAATTGCCAAACAAAAGATCGAAGCGCATTAAGCACGACCACGTATCAGAGTTGATAAAATTCGACGACGTGGTTACATCAAGGCTATATGTTTTTCCCCTCCCCTCCTACATGTACCCTATATACACAGGTACCCCTACCTAGTCCCCCGTCTCTTGAGTGACTAGACTACGGACCGCACGAAACTGCGACGGCGACGCCAAGCAAAACGTCAAAAAGGCCATATTATAGGTTTAATGACCAAAACAACAACTCTGCACGTGCATCACGCTTTTTTGTACGTTTCTTTAGCTGTCCCTGCACCCTGCACAACTACGACGTGAAATGACCAAATTTTAAGTTCACTTGAAAACGGGAACGGAATGGCGATGAATTCCACCATTTCTGTCTGAACTCGGGCGTGGTCTCCTCTCTTCAGTTCCAACCAAAATTCCCTTCTTTTAGGTAACAGGGGGAATTGGGATAATCGAGGAAACATTTAAAAGGATGCGGTCTATTTTTCAGCGACGTTTTTATGGACGTCGCCGTCGTCGGATCGTAAGGTCCCTACTCAAAGCACAACGGAGCGGGGAGATGACGCGACTGATTTCAAAAAGACCAACAAGGGTGCCACTTGTTTTTAAGGTATTGCTTGTCTGTGAATTTCACAGGTCATAAGCCCTTGACCCACCTACTTTACTTAGTAAAACGTAAACATGAACAACAAGTCAAATTGCTAAATGAACTGCGACGTGTTATCTTGCACGCGCGTGCTGTAAGTTCATATTTATTATTTGAACGTTAACGTTTAAGATCGGACATTAAAATAGCCTGCGAACTGCAGACGTTTCTCCTCGCTCTTCGCCTCTGAGGGACAATGATCGAGGAGAAACGTCTGCCATTCGTAGGCTAACATTAAAAGAGATCTAAGAAGTTCGAAATACCAGAGGTAAATAGAGGAGTGAGATCATCATTACCAAAATCGTTAGTCATAATCCATTACTGAAATATTTATCGTCAATTTAATTAGCGAGCAGGCTATGAGTTTTAATAAATCAGGCTCAAAGTCAAAGAACAAACACCCATCTCTTTGGTGAAAAAAGCAAAACCAGACTCTCAATGTTATCTCAAGCAAAAGTTACTAAATAGAGTAATTGTTTCATAAATATATTTAAAGCATTGTGCGTAGTGTGATTGCGTGAATTATAGACCGCCGTTTGATTAATTGAACTGTTTTCGGTCTGAGCTAATTTGAGCCAATATGGCCAATCGGCCAATCACGCATGAAGTCTAAAGTATTTAATTAGATTCGACCTTCATTTTTGACCCAGAAGCTTTATTTTGTCAGCCTCGAGTCAAACTCATAACTCCGTAAAAATCGCGGGGGTGCCGTAACGTTCTGCATACGCAAAGAGCTACAAAACTGAATCATCGCTTTCAAGCAAGGATCAGGATTACAGGTAAACATTCTGCTAAATCGAGCTGTTTATTTCGCTATGTGAAGTATTCCGGCACAGCATGCTTTGAATTTACCCATCTGTTCACGGCCGTTATCGGCCCGTTTGGTCTTCGTTCTCAACTATTCTTTCAGAGTTGCTTTGTCTATGGCTGAATCAGGTTTTAAGGGGTTTGAATTAGGTCGCAAGGGGCAGTTCATAAAAATATCTTGTTTTGGCAAATGATCCTAATTTTCAGAGGAAAACATCAGTTGGGTTAGTATAGCGTGCATTTTCTCGAAATAAAAAAACATTCCTCTTTCTTTCGATTTCGTTTAGTGTCACTCAGTCAAAGTAAACTCTTGAAGCGTGTCTCTAACCAGACGTTATCTCTCGATATGAACGTAAACTGTATAAATACACAAAAGTATAATGTACATTTCACGTAGAAGAACCATCATAAGTTCTTTTTCACAGATCAAAACTATGTTAACTGTAATTTATACGCATCTTGATGACATTATTACACAAGAACTCACACAACAGGATCATGTTTAATATGCACTATTTTCTAGTTATCTTTTCAGTAATTCACAGCTTGAGTAAGCTGAGTAAGACGCTCCGCTGATCGGTGACCAGTTGGAAGTCAGTTAAAGGAGTAACTACGTGCTTTGTTTACAAAATGTCAACACTAGTTGAAGTGTATTTTCTTCAAAGAGTTGTATTCTAATACGTCAAGACGTCAATGTTTGAGATTTTTTGCAAAGGAACATAAAACCTCGGAAAACTCAGCTTAGATAGAATTTTAATTTTCTTTTGAATGGCGAGTATCCGCCTTACAGGTGACCTCTGTCGAGACTACACACCTTACAATTCTCAATTTTTAAGACGGTACTTTTGGACAGTAATTACACACTATTTTTTCCGCACATGAGAACAAGCTATCACCTTAGCCTACAGTAAACACTTGAATACAGAACACCTCTTGGAAAGCTAACAGTCACGTCCGGAGATTAAGTTTGGCTGGCATCATAAGAATGTAATTTTCCACGAAAAATAAGTAGGCACTAAGCTCCAATATTTCAATTTTTTTTTCTAGAATTTTTGACATATTTTTTTATTATTGACTCAAGATTAAATTTACTCCATACTTGTCGTCGGAAAAACTGGTTGACGGATTTCGTCTGATTTCGCCGGGACCAAAGGTTAACTAATCAATCGATCGAATATCTAAGCCATCAACGTTCATAACAAAACTGTACTTAAATAGTTCTCAGTCCGGCGATAGTTTTAATGCCCTAACACATGGATATCTTGTTAAAATCTGATGCGCGCAAAACAAAGGAAAACGTTTTTTTTTTTCTCAGAAGGACTGCACATGCTCACATGTGCGTTATGCACTTATCAATTGAAACCCCGACCCCCCACCCGGGCCTATGCGGGGCAATGTGGGGGATTTTTATGGTATTTGAAGGCATGGTTAGCCCGTGGGGCTGGGGGATTTCTCAGGATTTGCTTAGCATATTCATGGAAGTCCATGGAAGTCGGGGAGCGAGGTGGGGATTTGACTCGTGCCTAGTTTCCTCACGGTAATTTCTTCACGTGATCACTGGTATTTTGATGTATTGCTCGGCCGTAAGTTTCCTAATTGTTTTTCCTTTCATTTCTTCACTGAGACTAATCCTTGCGATTTTGCCTTGAGCTTTCATGGTTCGTTGACTGGAAATTGTTATTGTTATTCAAAACTTCTCAAACAATGCAGATACAAACTCCTCTACTTATTATAAAAGGTGCTGTGTCACGGCTATCTGGTTCATTTTGTTAATATTGCCAGTTACGTGGTCCCTATTCGCTTTTGAGCGTTACGTTGGCAAAGAAATGAAGAAATCAAAGCTTCATTTTAAACAGATGTTTCTCCCAAGCATATCAAGCGTTACGGACGAAAACAATGAACTTTGAAAAACCAAAATTTCAATCCGTTTTAATCTTCTTCATGTTTTCCCATCTGTACCTTCTTTTGTATTTGCTGAGTCATTTATACCATCTTTTAATGTCTTAAGCGGTTATTTTTATGTTTCACTCAATTTGGTGGCAGTTCCCACAGCCTACATTTTGGTAAATTTCATGACACAGCTCGTTTAACGTCTAGTGTTAAACCCATGTGGTTTCTGTGGTTCTATATTTCCTCATTCTTTAAGCCAAAATATAAAATATAGCTCCTAGGAACTATTTTATGCAGTCTATTTATAACATCAGCTTGTGAAGGTTAAGGTATGTTGGCTGCTATTTTCAATTAAACTTATCATTGCAGATATTACTTTCAATGGAGATGGTACGGATTTCCTTTTAATACAACTTTATAGCAATGTGCTACTCCATCATCCATTTTGTACCCTGACTTTTTTATAAGTGGGTAGGGGTCATTATGTTTACTTATTGTCAAATATTTGTTGTATTTATATCTTGGTCTGTTATCATATTTGCCTTTTTGCTGTAGTAAATTTGTCAATATTAAGAAGTTGAAAATATATTCGAACGAAATATTAATAAAGTCAGTCAGGGAATTAAAAAGGTTTCCCCACCTGGGTGGGGGTTTTACTAGTCAATATGCCCCAATAGGGTGGGAGTTTGCTAAGATTTGTAATGATGTCAAGTCAAATCCCCACCTTGGCCCGGGGTGGGGGGTCGGGGTTGCAATTGATAAGTGCATTAGATGGTTACAAAAAAAATGCAAATGCCATAGTCGCCATAAGAGTTTGTTTTTCTTTTTTAACATTTTTATTATGAACAAAGCATTCTTATAACTAAAGCAGTTTTTAAAAATATATAATCCCCTGGCGCTTTTTATCTTGCTACTTACACATCGCCGGGAAATTGGAAAAGCTCACAGTTAAAGTTAATAGTCAAAAGAGCAAGTTCTCCTTCACAAATTGCTCTTACTAGAAATGGAAAATTTGTCCTCATGAATGGGATATAAGGTTTATAAACAAGACAAACGCTTCCATTAGAAAATTTCTCAACCCGACAGGTGGTGTTGCAATGGTCCATGAGTGGAACCAGATTAAACTCTTCCCCCGATCACCCACTGTCGGGAGCCTATAACGCCTGACCCTGCCCCTGTGGCGGTGACGCAGCTGGATTGGTCCCCTGGCCCCCGACCGCGTCACACAGTTGTCTAAAGGGTGGATAACGCTATCCACTGGATAAATAGTGCTATCCAACGTTTGACCAACCTTGGCAGGTGGAAACCGGTCTTAAGATTTGTTTCTGTAAAGAGTGATGCAGTTCTCTTGCCCTTTGTGCAAAGTCCATGGAAACGACCATGTCGCAACCCTAACTAAAAATGTAAAATAATCTAAAAATTACAACTCAAAAGGAAAAACAACAATATCTGAACAATACTTAAGATTTCTTACCTGCTTTCAAATAAAATAAGAAAAGAAAAAAACAAATGTTTCCGGCCAGAATTGAACAGGCGACCTTCCGCGTGTTAGGCGGACGTGATAACCACTACACTACGGAAACTACTATGGAAGAAATGGGGAAAGTTAGAGATCTCTTACCGTGTGGCACGAAATTTTTCGGATTGCGGGTTCTAATTTTTGCGGTTTTTCCAGCGATCCGCAAAAATAAGTTCCCGTCAATACAAATTACCGCAAACATTTTTCTCGCAAAAATTTACTCCAGGGTAAATATTCTCTAACTTAAATTCGCTAAACAATAATACAGTACTAACAAATCGTGTCTGTTCAATCGCAGCTTGTCTCTTTCATTCAGAAACAACGAAATACTGGTTTATTGCTTGAAACTATAAACGAAAATATTATCAATGCTGGGTACTGGGTATTTTCCGAAAATCGCAAAAATTAATTCCCAGCAAGTAAAACCAATCTGTCCTAATCGCAAAAATTAGTCAGTCCCGCAAAACACAAAAAATCGCCAATCCGCAAAAATTTCGTGCCACACGGTATATATGACAACTGCAGTAAAATGAAATTGAATACTGAACTGAAACGCAGCCAGCATTCTGCTGCAAAAGATCTGAAAACGGAGACATCTGTTGGTCATCAGAAAAACAAACATTACTTTACGGTTATAACACAATCTTGGACAAAATAGACAGAAAAGTTGGACCCTCCCCTCCCTAAATCAATGATGGGCAAGTGGCGTGATTTCTTGACCCATTCGCCGCTTTATCCTTAATTTCGGGGGATTAGGGTTTGGAGAGGGGTTGCTATTCCATTTAAGTCTGTCTAAGATTGTAGGTAGGTGAAAAATAAAGTTTCGTGCTACTTAATAAAGTGTTACCTGGTTGGGTGAAACAAAGTCTAATTAACGAATGGTCGTCCGAGTGAATACATTATGAAAGAAATATTTATCTTCTTATCACTGTGAATCCTGATGTATAACGCACATTTATCGCGTACCGACGGACACAGTGTTAGAGGGGACCGAGTTCTTCCTCTCTCCGCCGACATCTTCCCAGATGGTAGGTTACTGAATCTCTATATAACCAGTCTCAGTCGAGTATAAAAGACAAGCAAGATATCATAATATTCTAATTATGATCTCTGCGATCTTGAGACAAGTTATCCCCCATTTTCGTCCTTTTCCTCACAGTATCGTAAATCCTTCTGCCCAAACAGGAGAACACAGGAAAGAACAAAAACAACATACACTTTACGATGGACTTAATGAGCTTTTTATCAGACGAGGAATGGGAAAGAGTGACACAACCGTTAATGGAGGGTAAGGCCAATATTTATCCCCGAACCACCTTTCACAGGGGAGGGGAGGGGGAAATCCCAACAAATCAAATCTTACCCCAGGGGTAGAAGATAACAGGGCGGTAACGTGGCCGAGCAGTCAAAGCGCTGGACTTGTAATCCAGAGGCTCCGAGTTCAAGTCTCGTCCTGGGCCCAGTTGCTCGAAGCATGGTTAGCGTTAACCAGCGTTTAATACCTTGACAACGTATTGGTTTTGCTACTGCTTAACCAATGGTTAAAGCTAACCATGCTTTGAGCAACTCAGCCCTGATCGCTAACTGGATTTGGATTAATTCTCGGTTATCCCGAGTTCCATTCCTGGCCACGCCTGTAAAATAGCTGTTTTTGGTTTGCCTCCCACAAGTTGGGATTCTTAACCTTGTTATGTTCCATTTGATTAGTATTCGTTTCAACAATTTTGAGGAGAGCCTTAAGTATATAGTATTATCATTATCACTGTCATTAATATAATTATTATTATTATTATTATTATCATTATTATTATTATCATCATCACTACGAACGACGAGGTTGAGAGAAGTAGTAGTATTAAAAGGGTACGAAAAGGAGCGTGTTTAATACCCCTGTTTTTCCCAGAACCGTACAAGAACCAAGCAACCAAACAACAAACCATAGAGAGGTAGGGGAAGAGAGGATTCAGGCGGTAGGAACTACAAACGAAATACGGGGTATCCGGAAGTAGAAAAGAGAGGGTTTTGAATCTCTGACTCTCCGCTCCCGCTAGCTCTGGAAACTCATTTTGTGCTTGGTACTTTTATTTTTCAGGTTTTGAGGAATTCCAAATTGTTCACCGACACTCTTTAGGTAGTGGAAAGTACAAATACTCAGCCTTACAAATCAAGGATGAAATTCCCTACGAGCTCCACATCAGCGGTGCATCAGAGAAGAGAGACCCTTTGAAGGAAATTCAAATGATAAAACTACGAGTGGATGATAACACTATCACAGGCATGGATGACAACGGGGACTGTGTTGTTAGAAAGTCTTAAAACTATGTTTTACCCACTTATTTTGGTGTGAATTGCCGCCTGTTAATAGTAGCTCGACCAGTCATAAAGGCGGCAGCAGCTATAACGTAACAAAACTATGATATTTCAGTTTGGAGCCTTCCTAGCAAGAAAGCGAAGCCAAATGATCACATCTAGGGTATTGAGGCTAAAAACGTGAACACAACACGATTTTCTCTCTTCTCTTTCTCATCATCAGTACTGTACGGGTGTTACAGTACCACCACTAGGGATCCATAAAAACGTTTTTGAGGTAGTTTAAAGAATATGGAATACTCTTCTTACGGTTTTTGTAATCTTTGCCGCCATGTTTGCCTACTTTAGTCAACTGTGTGTTCACCGCTCCATCATTAATCTCGTTCCCAGGATTCTATCTTCGAGGGAGGAAGAGAGAGGACCCTGGGAACGAAAGAATGATGATTTTAAAAAAGGATGATGACGTAACTGATTCACGACTCCTGTGTGACGTCATGTTTTCCGCCATTATCGAAAATAAAAAATGACGACCATGTCTTAGCAGTGTTATAGACCTGAATACAACCGAACTACAACAACAAATAGACTTTTATTCAAAAATTTAACATAAGTGAGCCGACCCGCAGGTAGCAACAGCTAACGTATAGGCCGGACAGACAAACAAACAAACAAACTCTGTTATGTAAAGTTTTATTAATGTTAGTGTCACTTGGGTTATATTGCAAAGAATTTTAAGAATTTTTTTTGTGTAGAAAACTGAGGCAACACTAAATATATCGTTGTTGCAGAGGCGTTGTGTTACAATTAAACAAATTAAACATTGCTCTCACTCACAGCACGTAGGGATCTCTCCAGGTTAACATTACCAAACCTTTCTAAAACTAGCTGCCATCATAGATATAAACAAGCCTAAAAAGTGCTGTGAGACTTAAAAGATAAAAAAAAATGTAAAGCCGTGCCGTGCAAATTCTATAGTACAAAAATGACAGTTGCTAAAAAATCTCAAGAACCAAACCGGAAGCTAAGTTTGTTCATCAGTAATCTTCAAAACGCAATCGTCGCCGTTTTTTATACCAGTGATGTATGACTTGTCATTGATCGAACTTACTGCAAGCTCCACCCGGCGATATCCCTTCAGGGGATCCCTTGTGTCGTTTGCTGGGCCTTCAAGCACGACTGTCCGGGGAGGGCTGTCCTCGTTGTCAGCTTCATAGATGACGTATTTGTAGTTATCGCCACTTTTTTGGGAACGTGAGATTAAGTACTCTTTAAATCCTAACAAGATAAAGGCACCATTTTAAGAGGTTCTGTATATCTCGAAAGGTTCAACACCCTTTTTTTAAAAAAAAAAAAAAAAAAAAAAAAAAAAACGAATACCTTCACTGGGGAACTCCAGAGTCTCCTGCCAATGTTTGTTTGAGAGGGATTGAATCAAACTCATATCCTTTGATTATGCGTGGTACCCTGTGCATAAAATCGAAGTCATATCATGTATAATATATTACCTCAAGCCCGAGCGAGGTCTCTTTCCTGGGATATAGACCCAGGCCAAGAGGGGTGGGAATCCGGATTTGAAGTGACAGGGATGGTCGAAGGATTTTTGCGGGGTTGAAATTTTTTATTTAGAGCTTTTTGGGGGTAAGAAAAGTTTTTTCTCTGAAGCGCTCGTGATCTAAAGTAACGACGGGAACTAGGAATGAAAAGTCTAAAGTTTATGACGTACTTTCTTTTTCAGTACTTGACCAAAACACAAACAAATCGAGTTGTTAGTACCCAGGCTTCTCGCGGGTTGAGTTTAGGTTCAGTTCTCTCCTGTGGTGCCGTTTATTTTGCTTAAACTTCGGGAGATCTAATTGTATCGTTATTTATTTATTTATTTTTTTTACCTTTTTTCATTATAATCGTTCCCCATTTAGAAATCAGAACCTTTGAAATGGATATAGATCTTCCACTTTAATGGACCATAATGGGACTTTTTGAGGAACGAGATTGCATGGTACGATAATGAAGCCAAAACTAAGGCTCAAAAACTGTGTTAAAAATAGAAAGAAAGGAGAAAAAAGTGATATGGCAGCTTATTGTCTTAGACCGATTTGCGCAGGAAAAAAACAAAGAGCGGCAGCTGTTGTTAACATGCAAAACAATTCCACACAACAACTCAGCGTCTAAATTACAAGTCGGCTTAAAAGCCTGCCCTTTCTAATAACAATGAACCTTGGCCGGGTGATAATATAAACATGTAAAAGAACAACACCGTCTTCTTCCTGTATCTTAAATCGGCCAACAACGCAAAAAGGAACGTTTCTTTGATGACGTTCTCTCATACAGCTCACTTATTAGCAATACATTGGTCGACTTTTTTCTCTGTAAAGTTCTCCTTTAACAACAGACGTTCAGTGAGTTATGTAAATTTTAGAGTGACCTAGAGTGTGTACAAACACGACATGGGTGGGAGTTTTCGATGTTATCTAGGCATCAAAAGTTAAGACGTTACTTTTTAATTTTTTTTTCTCCCAATAGTAAAGAAGTAGCCTCGTGGTATTGAAACTCACAATATAGACTGAACTTTTCCAACAGGGACATACCTTTTCAAGGATTTGTGACTTATATCAACACTACAGACCATCATTAGTTGCAAAATCACAAAGCGTGAAAAGTTACATGTTATTAAAAACAGTTGTAAAGAGGTCGCATCTGTATCAGATAAACTGAATTCACCCTTTTTAAAACACTGGCCTTTGTAACGAATGTTTTTAAATTCTCAGGGTGGGTAGTCTTTAAACTGTTAGTCTTTAAACTGTTTTGATAGGTCTTTTCCTCAAGCGAACCCACAGAAATGTATCAATCCATTACATAACGTTCAAGGCTTTTTCCGCCGCTTTTAGGGTAAAAAGGTTTTACCATATCCAATGAACCTCAAAAATTTAATTAACTGAAAATTGTTTCGGGCGGGTTGATTTTCTACATCCAAGTGTCTCTCACAATGATCGAAAACGTTTCCGGAGTTAATTGCCAAATCCACGCAGTTATAATAAGTTTTGTGGTGAAGCATAAGTTCTCAATATTCGTATATAAACAGTTCACTGATTTTGAGTGCATGTCTAGAAACAAAAGCAAAACGTCATATCCATCATTTCTGTCTTACTGCTGTAAACGTCCTTTCTATTAACTCGGTTAAACAGTAATTAAATTTAAACAGGATTAAAACCTAACAATGGTGGAACAGACTGAATTTCACAGTTATAGCCTTTTAAATATGTTCGCATTGCAACCACATCTAAGCCTGTTTTTGATCACAGCTGACAAAAAAATCGTGGGGTTTCTGTCCATTCTCTTACAATAAATTCATATTTTATGTAAATAAATGAAGTTTCTGGAAAAAAATCTTGAAATTAATTTCAAGTAAGAAGAGTGGCTCACCTTGAACGTTTTTAAGCACAGTTATCTCTCCCTAAAGTTTGCAAACAGCGAACAGCATGAACAACTGACTCAACACATAGCGAAGATCAACTTCAAGAATCAAATAAAAGGTTAACGTCAATCAATATATCCCGGCTATTGTTCTCTTCAAGTTATTAAACAGTAAAATATTTAACTTTTTAAAAAGATACCCATAAAAGGGTACATTTATTGACACAATGAACACAATTACTGTTCGTTGAATTCTGTAGTACGAGTTACGATCTAATCTCTTTTAAGTGCCAAACCTTTCTTGTCAAAATGAGTTTTATTTGCACGAGAATAACATTTAATTTTCAATAATTTTTTTATCAGACTTAGCTATTAACCTCGTTTTAAAATGGAGGCTTGGTGGGTCAACTCGAAAATGGCCTATTCTGATTGGTCCGACTTATCAGCGAATCAGCGGGACTTCTTCTACCACGCAGGTTTTTTCGTCTTCAAAGCAGATGTTTTATGGACTTCGCGACGCATTCTTTACACACGAATGAAGTTCGTCGGTGGAGAAACTAAAACTATCACAGAAGAGGTTTTCGAGGTTTTATCTCGAAAGTGGGATTTTTTAACACGTATGTCTATGGTCATCTATTGTTTTGGTGTGGACCGCCAAAGACAGAGGTCATACGTAAACGCGTCATAGCTACTCGTGCATAAAATGCTTACAAACCTTAAAATGTCGGGAATAGACAAAAGCATCGTAAACATGTCCGAGAGTGACCTGGGAACAACAACGTTGTGTTCATATCCTTTTCCGGTGTGGTGTGCTAAAATCCTTTTGCCAATAAGCAGGACAAGACAATAAGCAGGGCCTAAGAGATGGGAACGACGCGGTTCGGAAGTCTACAAAACGGCAACTTCTTGAATTTATATAACATCAATAACATTCAATAACATTTGATTTATAATATTAATTTATTTATGTGGTGGATTGAAGATTAATTTGACAAGTTAAGTTTGCTCGTTTATATCATATTCTATGACACAAATAATTGTAATGTTTCCTCATTTTCATTTGTTTTTAGCGGCAAAAAATCTTATGGAATTTAGAATTTATCTCACATTAAAATGAATAAATAATTAAAATCACCACTTTACCGACTTTTCAGAGGAAGGCTGCACGGCAAAAGTTTCATAACCAGCAAACCACATATCATCGGAAAGTGGTGCAGTTTTTGAAGGAATCTTATAACCGAGGTTTTATCAGCGAATTTAAATAGTTTGACACTAGGAAACACCCTTCTGTAACAGACCCAGTGAGTCCCTACCCAGTGGTTTAATTCAGTCTACCCAGTGATAATTTAGCCTCTCCGATAACTGATGAATAGTTTGTTTCTGCCCGGCTAAATTTTTGCTCCCCCAGACACTTTCTACTAAACTTGAAAAGTATAAAAAATTGTTACCATTGACAAAAGAAATCGGGGGGAACAGGTGATCGATCTCTCATAAAAGAAGTGTAAATCTTTTAGTTCTTCTCGCTAGAGAAATATGTATAACGTTTTCAAAGGCCGTTCATACCCGCGGTAAAGATGTAAAACCTGCCACCCCTATTAGCTTTAACAGGAGATACACAACTACAGAAAAAACCCCAGTGGAAAATACACCAAACCGGTGACGTTGTCTCCGACAACCCGGTCAAGATATAGATTCCACTGGATCTGTTACAGAGGGGTGTTAGGAACAATAACACAATGTTTATATCCGCTGGGATTCACAAAAATAACAATTTGTTGGAATGCATGATAAGCATAGAAACCCAATCATAGAATGATGAACGTCTTTTTTCGTCCTTTTTTAAAGGTGTTCAGCTTGATCACGTTCACGAGATTTTTTCTGTTTCCTTTGCTCCCGCTTCTTATGTTTATGCCCTCTCTTCTCTCCAGTTTTCGCCGACGGGTTGACTTCGCAATAGTACCCTCCCAACCTTGATGTAGATTCTGCTGGACACTCCACACACTCACTGGTAACCAGAGACGAGCGATAAGTGTTGTCTTGACAACATACATCTTGTTCATCCACCGGGTTCACAGACCTCAGGTTTTTGGGCGACTTGCGAGGGGTCATTCGAAGTGTTAGCTTAGCAATGAAGTACAGGTCAGTGGCTGAGTTAGGAGCCAGCCACTCCGCCTCGTTCTCTCCTGACTGTACTGTGTACGTGATCTTCCACCTGGACAATGTTGTGGGAAGAAGACTGTCACCTGCCACTTTAGATGACGTATGACAAATCTTTGGCAGGTTGTTACACAGACTGTATGGATTGGGGATTTCCCTTGAGCAAGTTGACTTTCGATAGCCTTCTTGGTACACTGTCACGTAAGAGGTTTGTTTCTCTGGCAATAAATAACGCACTGAATTTGCTTCATCTGTAGAAATGTAGCTACCTGCGTCTGGATCGGCTGACACAACTATACGGGTTGATGTCTGGACTTTTGCTGCACCAGTTTTATCATGCTCTTTGTTGGGGAGAAACAGTTGAAAGTTCTCAACGTAAGGAGCATGGGGCTCGCCCATCAAGCTCCAGTGAAATTTGTAAAGCCACTTTATATCTCGAGGAAGTTTAAATGAGGCAGTTTTTTCTTCAGCTAACTTCTGAATGTTGATGAAACCCGTATCTTCGTCTGACTGAGGTTTTGAGGGGATGAATACGGTACGCTCAATCGAGATGTACGTTTTATGGTCTGTAAACGCCACAAGTTTATCCAGGTCGTTGTTTGTGAAGAGACCAGTGTCTGGTAGACAGACCTGGACTCTTTCTCCCTCATTCAAGTACTCAATTTTATCACAATATAGCCAGGCTTGAGACTGAATAAATATCTGGGACATTAGAAATCCTCCTAACAGTTCGTGAGCCTTGAATAAATCGTTTTGTTGCTTTCCAATGGAAGCAGCCAGCTTATTAGCTAGGTTACTTCTCACTATTCTGGCCAGAATGTCCACCAACTCAAACTGAAAATCGAAAATGTTTTCTCTTAAGGCATTGAACTCAGCAATTGTTCCTTCTAAATTCTCACACAACAAGAAACCGTTGGCTATAGCCTTTCCTGCGACCGCCAATATTCCACCGACATCGTTCAACAGATCACAAGCTGAATCCTTCAGCGCTCCCCACATGCCAATGTTTTGTTCCATGCGGTGCCGGTCCACCTTAGGGGTGTAGGCAGCATACTATTCGACAAACCCTTCGGCGTTGTATCCAATATTTTCTAAATCGCTGTCCTTGATACTGTCGACTACTTCAATCAGGTTTGTTATTTGTTCTTTGTTGTCTTGCAGGCAAAGAGCAATCTCCATTGTATCGTTCTTAACCTCGATTAACTTTGCAATAAGTGCTCCTCCGTGAACGAGATCTGCTGCCAAGTCAGCGACAATTTTTGTTTGATCTCGCACTCCCTTTTCATCTACACCACTGAATATGGCTTTTAAAGGATTTGCCTCTGCCGCTATTTTTGTACCCAACGCTACGGTCTCCTCAGCCAACTCAATACCCAGTAGTGTCTCCATAGCAATCATTGTATCGTTAAGGTCAGTGCGTACCTTTTCCTGAAGTCTGGTAAATTCTGTTTCAAAGCTTGTAAGTTTGCCATTTATGAAGTCTTTGTCGGCGTTTGCAATCCCTTTTTCATACTGAGACATTCCTTTGAAATAAGAAGAAATTCCTTGGATGTGAACTTGTAGGTTGCTATCCAGCTGATTTATGGCGCTCAACAACTCGGCATGTTTAATGGTATCCTGTTTCAGTCCAATCAGTTTAGCATGGTCAACATTCTCGTGAAGTGTAAGATCTCTCGTAAATCCTAGGTGTCCCGGTTGAAGTCTTTGTTCCCTCATTTTTTTCAGCAGCAAGTAATGTGGTCGAATTGTCAAAAACTGGCAGGCTGCTTCCGCTTCGATTTCATCACATGCAAATCTGAAAAGGTGTTTTCGTTTTCGCTAATAATCCGCATGGCTTCATCTATTCGAGAGTACGCCCTCCTTCTAACAGCATCTCTATAAAAGCCTTCAAAAGGTCTATTTTCTGGCATCATGTTGACAAATGCGTTCATCCATTTCACTTGTATGGGAATGCTTTTAACTTGGTCAACTATTTCGCATCCACTGTAAGAACCTTCGGGGCACCTGTCGCGACCACAAAATACATCTACCATTGTAAAACCGAGCTTGTAAAAGAACAGCTCCACCATTAGTGGAATAGCTTTGGTCACATCGCATTTATCGTCATCGGTGCAGGCATTTTTCTGACTTGAATGGACTGAGCCAGAACATCTCGACAAAGTCGGACAAACATCCTTGATTGAGAGGGGAATGACTTCTCGGGGTGGTAACTCATTACATGCTATTGTTGTAAAGAAGCCTTTCCAGTGGGTCCATTGTGAATCTGTAGTGGGTCGAGTCGTGGTATCATGTAATCCATGTTTCACAAGGTTTGCCATAAACGTTCCTAACGTGAATTTGGTTTTAACAGAAGGGAAAGCATCCAAACCGAATGTTGTCAATTTTGACTGCACACAGTTTTTGAGTTTATTAGCTAACTCCAAAGCCTTATCAGCATCAACGAGCGGTATGAACCAAAGAAAACTTCTTATCCATCCACCTTCAAAAGCAGGCGTGATAACATCTGCAGTGCCTTCAGTGATGTGTTGTAAGCATTCAGGTGGGATGCTTGCCTCTCTAGGTTGGCATTTCTCAGGAATAGAATCCAAAAATTGAGTAACCTTGCCGAACCATTCTACTCTATCAGCATGCATATAAGGCGAAACCCGAGTGAATATGGTCAAAAGCACAACGATGTGTAAAGACCGCATCTCGCCACAGAAATTTTTATGTAATCAAAACGGCGAGACTGCCGCTTTTAACCCCTCAATCAACATGGTCTAGTCCAAGAAGATTAAAAAGAAGTTTTCCCAAAAGCATTACCTCAGAACTGATGTAATCACTGCCACAGGTTGCGAAAATTCTTCTAGTATTAGCAATACTCCCAAATGAATGACAAAAGCTTCTTTACTCTCTCTCTCTCTCACTCCCTCGCTTCACAGCCAGGGGGTGATTTGCTATTGCGTACTTTATCGTCCTTTTCCTTTTCGAGATCATTTCTTTGCTTCCACATTTTCGAAATCAGGCAAGGAATCTCGCAAAACCGCGTAAATTTATCCTGGCTGCCTTTCCTTCGGATAAATAGCTGTAAATGCAGATCTTAACGGTTAAAAAAGAAAAGTTTTGTTACGCAGGCCAAAAAACAACAAACGTACTTACAGGACTCCGTTAACTCGATACTCTCTCTAACTCTAACAAAACCTCATTTCCCCCAGGATTTGGCCCATTCTGTCAGCCATGATCAGCTTCATCGGACAGCTATTTATCAAGTTTGAGGGAATTCTACCGCGTTTTAAATTCAAGGAAGTGAAAGATAAGGTCTTCAAATTTGGGCAATAATTTCCAACGGAAATGTTCTTATCAGAAAACCTTATAAATCAAGCCATTTTTTACCTTGGTGACTGTAGACAAAGAATAAATCCGCGATTCCTTATTAATGATTCCCAGCATATCTTGAATGGGGTTTTTCAATAACTTGAAGAATTCTTTAGCTTTCTTTGGAAGTACGAGTTAGCGGAAGTTACGACACAGAAGCTTTTTTCTGAATCATGGATATATGGTAAGAGATACATCTTGACAACTTTTATATCACCGCAGAAGCAAGATAAATTATCATAGCTTGTTGAACAACGAAAAGTCTGCCGTTGTCCATTCATGCGCAGGTGTGCGAATGGCAGCTCTCGATGGGGGTTATCGGTGGGGGTAGTTCTCGGTTGCCAGTTTTGTTGTTATCTCGATGTTATGTTATGTTATGCTATATTTTCAAGAATTATTTGTTTCTAATTTTTAGTGGAGTGCTTGTAAACTAGCTGGATAAGCTAAGCGCACTTTCCACTATAAACAAACCTTAAACTTTAAACCTTAATCGATGATTGGTGGCAAGCCATTCATGTTAAACCTCGCGAGAGATGCTTCATGACCCAAAAAACACTAGTACCAAACAAATAAAGAACATTTCCCGCAACTCGAAGGTCAATTTGATAAATCTTTTACAATGTTATTAACAAGTATAGCTATTGATTTTGAGACTGAAAACAATAGCTACGCTTGTAAAATACACTTGGAAAAGGTTTGCTAAATTGACTCCTGATTTACTTAGTACAAACAGTCTAGGTAAAAATGGGCGTATAACCAATTACAATATTTCCTCTCGAGGGCAAACAGTTTTTTTTTTTGCCCGAACTGGATCTACTAAGTTCCTAAAACCGTATCCCAAGACTTGCGGTACTTCAACTAACGTAAAGTTAGAACAGTGAAAATTTATCAGGGTCTGTCAACCATAAAAACGGATAATCAGATCCATAAACCGGTGCATTCCATTAGAATTAATAGCGATCTGAGGTTTAAAATCATGTTTACATAAAACAGAAAACGTCCACTTGTACCACGCGACCGCGTTTATCTTCTACCTATACCTTGTGCTATTCATTATATGACGTAAACAAAAATATCAAGCAGTTTCAAGTTAGGCTCACTCGCTCATAAGGGGTATTTATTGCTATGGTACTGTTTATCATGCTGTACAAGGAGCTAATAAATTTTGACTCTTCGGAAGAAATCCTCAAGTGTTTAAAAACACTTGTGGAATGCGTCTTAAACAGTTCGTTTCTGTAGTGGTATTCATCACAATTGCACAAGTTTGTGCTAGGTTTTGATACACATTTACAGTGTTGCTGAGCTTCTTAAATACATAAACCTTTCGCTATAAGCTCAATCCAGTTTAGGTCATTTTTTCGCTTTTAAACCTCAATCTTTAACAATCTCCCTTCAAGCATTTCCCCTTATTCGGCACTTTTCACACGAAACTCGTATCCTTCAGTTTTGACTAAGTAAAGATATAACGTTTGAATTTAAATATGTGTGTGTCATTGATTTTAAGAAGCATCTTTAGTCGCTATTCGGGTAATGATTCCATTTTCTACCGAATCACATTGCAGTTCCTTGTCAGAAATTCCATAAATCTAAAAAGAAATAAAAAGAAATATACGAATTTAAAGGTACGCTTGGCTAGAAAAGTTGGTCACTATTCGTCTTGTTACACTTTGTAGTTTAGCATACCTATATCACATCATTGTAATTTTGACATTCAAACTCAATTTACTCCTTACACGAACATTGTGATATAAGACAAGACTAGAAGAATTTTTCAGACCGATTCCATTTTAGAAGAAGAAAATATCACTTTTTTGTGGTTAAACCTCAAGAAAAAACGACTTTCGCAGTCAGCAAAATCAATGACAGCCATTCCATTCTCCCCTTAACTCAGATTCAGCCCTTGACATAATGATGAGGGAGGAAAACTGGGTAGAAAGTTCCCCAACTAAAAACAGTCGTTCCAGTCTGAACCCCAATAATAAGGGTCCCATTTGCTCAAATTCATCAAGGATAAAATTGTACCTTTCTTATTTTTTCCTGGTCAGAAATAGCAGCTAGAGACGATAAAGAAACCAGTGTCCCCTTTATTTGTTTGCTCAGTTCTGAAATCTGGAAAGAAAGCACTCATTTTAACCTCAATAATATAAGAAATTTTATCATCAACAAACTGAAGTTGTGTTGGCCTTACTAAGCAGGGTTTTTTTTCCTGGTCAGTATAAAAATAGCCAAGCTAGAAATTTCCCTCCCGATTTTTCAAATAAAAATTTAAACGAATAAAAAAGTGTCGTTTTTTTCAAAATTTGTTTGCTCCCTACCAGAAAGTTACGTGTACGATTGAAGTCTTATTTTTTCCACAAATTACTTTTTGGAGATATAAAGCTGTCTGACCTAAAGAAAGGAACAGAAATGTTTAACCTCAATAGTATATCAAAATTTTCTTCGATAATCAACAAACTGAAAAGTTGTGACAGTACCAGGCCACAACTGTGCCACTTAGTTACCAGTCCACAAAGTACAAATAATAATGGTGAAAACAACAAAATGGAAACGTTCAACTCGTAAATCGTAGCTGTTGTGTAATCCAGTTAAAAAATATCACCAGTACTTTTCAGTGCATAGGGAGAAGGAACTGATGATAATGATGATCATGATGATGATGATGATAATGATGACGACGACAGTGATGATGATGATGATGATGATGATGATGATGATAGTGATGTTACAAACCTAAATCAAAAGCAAAATCAAGTAGTAGTGGAGTTTGAAAGTATGGTCAAATTTAATTTTGACTTCTGACTACATTTTACAGGTTAATGAAGCCACAACTTAATACTAAACCAGATTTTTACAGTGCAAACAATTCAGTATTCTATAAACACCTGCTGGAGTCCCAAGGTCAACAGAGAGATTTGGAAACATGTTAAAATCATGTCCATGTCCATTCAAGTTAAAAGTTTCTTACAGCTGAAAGAAGGAAATGGACAAAAACGTTTTGGGCACAACAACTTTTACAGATAACTCGATAAGACACTATTTAACTCTTGTTTGGATATAAAGAACCATGAGCCACAAATGAAACAAAAACTTTGTCATGTGGTGAAATATACCCCATATGACTTCTGATAAAAAGCAAGATTCTCCTTCCAATTTTTGTCTTCTATGTGCTTGTGAATAAATATTACAGCATGAGTCTCTCGGGGCCTTATTTACTTATCTTTTCAATTCCTATTTGAGTAAATACCTTTTCAATGCCATTTCCTTGTGTTATAATCACCACTAAAATGTCTTTTGTGTTGTCCAGTATCCCAAATTTCTTGAAAGAATCATTAATCTGATGAAAGAAAATTATGTTGGATTAAGGAGACCTAATTCCCTTACCTTCTCTACAACTACCAGTAAGCAATTAGGTTTATTATCATTTTTTTAAAAATATGTGTAAAATAAACAATTTATTTAAACAAAATAGCTCAGAATATGGATTTCCATTATCAAGATTATTAACACTTATTTGTTATAAATTTTTAATCTTATTTTTATATTATGCCAAAATATTGGCATAATAAACAAACTCAGATATTTTCTAGACTTTTTATTACATACATTTGTTTTCACACAACTAAAATTCACAAAAAATGCCCACATTAGCCTCCGGTGGGTACTACCTCAACCAAGAGTGACCAACATCAAGTTTCTCTTAACAATATCACTACATATTTAAAAGAAAAGTTTATGAGAATAAATAAAATGATCACCTAAGGGAAAATGCTTTCATCTTTGAACAAATTCTCTTAACTAATAATTCTGTAAGGAAATGTATGGAGATCAGTTTGGAGAATTTTTATGTGGATGGCTTAAAGGGTTAAAGGCCATGCATCTGAAAAGACAAAATCTGACCTCAAATAAATGAAACAGTATTTAATATTACTTACATTGCTGGAAGGCGACAAGTTAAAAATAATTTCCGAATGAAGTGTTCTTGTCTTCATTTTTCCTTGTTGAAACAAATGAAGAGCCTTGTGCCCAGCTACAACTACATGAAATGGATCAAAAATCTGACAAAAAAAAATTAAAACAGTTATTATTAACAGGTAATAAGCTTAAAATCATGTGACTTGATCACTGTAAAAAGCGAAACCTAGAGACTCACATGACCTTTGTTGATGTCGACTTGATCGAGGAGACCACTGAATACAGAATTGTTTTACTAAAAAATTATATGGGATGAAGCATTTGAAGCAAACATTTGTCTGCTTGAGACAAGGTGTCCACTTAATATGGAGTTCAGAAGCAAAAAGTGCTTCATGTTCACAAAAAACCGGGTGAAACAGCAAAAAAGAGGTGGATTGGAGGGGGGGAAGGGCACCACCTTTTCCCTCCTCAGACCCCTGCTCAGCTTACTTTCCAATTTTTTTCACCTTTTCCCCCCACTGTGGTCCCTGGACTCAGACTATTAAGATGTCAATGTCTCTAACATTTTTTCCAAAGGAGAGCCAAACAGAAGCGCTGTCTTGTTCCTGGCTTGTCTCCAAAAGTGAACAAAAGCAGGGGGTTAGATGGGGGAACAGTGAGGTCTTATTCATCCACTATCCTAGACAAAACTGGGTTAACAGGGCCCTTTTGAGGAGCACACAAGGCTTAGACCTAAATACAGCTATAAACATTGTTGGAAAGCCCAAGCAACAAGGCAGCAAAACTTTCATTAAAAAATTCTTAATGGAGCACTATTCTTCTACTAAAAAACAACAAAGATAAACATTTGTAAGCTTTTATATCATTCTGTGGCACTGACAACCATGAAAGTATGACAAAATTTAGGGGAATTTTATTATTTTTAAATAGCTACCCACATGGCCTTGCGGTCCTGTCGGGTGGGCTTGAGGCCTTCAAAATCCGACAACTTCATGTAAATAAGCAACAGATCGAAACTGAGATTGCCAAAGGAATTTCACTCTGCTACCCTCCTACCTAGGACATTGTTATTTAAAGAATCGAATCTGATCAAAGCTCAGGGTTCAAATTTCAGAATGTTTCTTGAACAAGGAACTTTATTTTTTTGATGTCACCCAGGTGTATAAAAGGGTACTCTATAGGGATGTGGGGCTATGGGGATGTAGCAACACTCCTAGCATTTTTTCACAAGAGGCTGGAGGATGTGACGCTGGATGGGGTTGCATTTTCAATAGATTGACTACAATGGGGTCGCATTTTCAATAGATTACTAGAATGGGGTTGCAGATTTTCGGATTTTTTGGAGTAAGTAGGGACTCAAAGTGGGAAGATTCCCGGTTAAAAAATCAGAAAGCTGATGTTTATTAAATTTAACAATAAGCTCGCATTGACCGCATTACATTCCGCTGCTTGAAACCACATTGATAAGGTAGAGGCATAAATAGAAAGTTGGGATCGCGAAAATTACATTTTCCAAAAAGTGACTAAGATGGGGTCTATAATTGGCTAAAAAATAGCCTATAATGGAGTAGCAAACATTAACCCAAGTATCCCCCCCCCCCCCCCCGGGACTCCTAGGCATGCTTTATGCCAAGGGAAACCAGTATAAGCTCCCGCCGTTTTGGGCCTTTGGCTCGTGTGCACCTTTACCTTTACCTACCCTCCTATTATACTCCTAAATATGAAACATTAATACATTTCAAACAACAGCGATTTGCGTACACGAGTACTGCAGATCGAGTTATCAGACAGAGGTCGATACATTACCATACTTGCGTTTAAGAGAGCCGCTTCCAATTTTCCGTGCACGATCAGTTCTCGTAGTTCTTTACTATTTGATACATCAGTGAATAAAGCCAGGCTCGCAGTGTAATCTGTATTCTGTTCCATGGTGAATTGAACGATCAGCTCCTCAACGTCCTCCATCTTCTTACGAATATATTAGTTGGTCAGCGGTCGCATACTAGTAAAAATATATGTCCCCATACATGAAGCACCTACATTAGTAAACTAGTACCAGTTCTCGTCAACAAACCCGGTAACTCTCAAATCAAAAAACTACTACATGAAAAATTACTGCAATTTGATTGGCTTAGAGCACTGGTATTTCAGCTTAATTTGAAATACCTACATGTGAAAATTACAAACCTTTTGCGGGTGGTAGTTAAACAAATAATAACATATTTTTAAACGTTAAACGCCCTTGTCAAAAATAAGGTTGTTTAACAATTTCTAAATATCACTCGTGGTATTTATGCCAAATATCACTACAAATCATGCTATACAAACGCCCCTGAAATTTGACATTCATTTTTATAAATGATTATTTTGGGTTATTTTCAAATCATGACATAAAGATGCACTCAAAATTTCTCGCAACCCTGATTCGATCGATTAGCGCGCGCGTTATTCTCTTTGTGACATAAACCCGCTTAAGTCATAAGAAAGACTCGCTTTTATAGATTAAGATTCGGATTGTGAATCTGCTGACGAACAAAAATTGCTAAAACTTCTGAGTTTTGTTTACTTTCTCACTTTACAATGGCTGCTCTTTTTAAAGGTTAGTCCAGTGTAAATTAGCCTGAATTTCAGACGATTGCTTTGAGTCGTTTTCTCCTCTCAGCAACTGAGGGAGTAAAAACGACTCGAAGTAATGTCAGTTCGGCGTCTGGAATTCAGGCTAAGCGTACTATGAATGAAAGCAGTCCGCATTTCTTGTTGCCGGATCTCTCTTTGTTGAAATGCCTTGACGTCATCGCCGGTGATCTTTAAAGCTGCATGTATTGACTAAGATACGAAAGTTTAGTGATCTTTGCACAAAATAAGCTTACGACTTCGTGACGGGTATAAAACTCATAAAAGAACAGAGGAAAAGGTGAAAGGAAAAATTTTAGAAAGGGATGTATTTCAGTGTGCTAATTTTCCAATCTATGTATCACCCTTCTTCGAGTTACAAGTATATGATTCATGCTATTTGTTGACTTTTTAAGCTATCCGTTGTGTTCTCCGACAGTTTTAAGCGGTAACCCGTCGATATTTCAGTCAGTTTTATAATGAACTAATATAGTACTTAAGCTTAAGTCTTAAAGTGCTACTATGACCAAAATTGTTGTTCTTATTTTCCTCCGCCGTTTCTTCTATTTCTTGCTTCAATATATTCATAAACTGAGTTTATAATTGCAAGAATAGCCATAAATTGCATCAATATAAACTCACTGAAGCTGAAAACAAGCTGGCGAAAACCGGCCAAAAGTACGGTGGCCCATAAGGGACATCTCGATATTTTTCATTTCCACTTAATAATTTGCGATTTGACTTACTCTCGAGCTGCTCTCGATCAAAGTTAATAAATAGCAATACAAATTTATATCTTTTCCTGTGAAAGCTATCGATGAGCGCAATCTTCGATTTGAGTCGTTTTTGTACCTAGTTCTCCAACAAAGTTAAACGCACTAGTGAGATATGAGATCGATATGTCAGCTAACTAAAAATGATTTGGAGAATTGGCAGGCAAAATTTAGTTACTTTTACCTTCCAAACTCTTGACAGTAAAAGATTTGACAGTTGGCTGACACTCAGATTAAAGTAACGCAAGTAGCCAAAAAAAGAACTTTAGTGCGCGCGTACAGGTCCCTGAGTGTAGTAAAGTAAAAGCTTCTGAATACGAGACTTTTTCCTCCGGTTTGGCCTACCGTCTAGGCCAAGGCACAGCTTATCGTTTTCGAGCGAACGCATGAAAACGGAGGTTTTCGACGTTTTCGAATACGATGATGTCACATATCACTAGCGCATGCCCTGTAAGGCCAATTGTTAAAGCGTTTTTATGTGGACAGGCAAAAACGAATCGAATACGCCCCATTGGAGTGTGGACGCGTATTTTTTCGAAAACGAAGAAACAAATCTTTGTTTTCAAAAATATTCGAACACGTGTGGACAAGGCCTGTATGAGAAGCACACTGCTCTTTAGTAAAACTTGCATGACTGTGATCACGTGATCAACTTTCGGTAAACACGAAAACAGTTCTTTTTCAAAAATTTTGTCAGTATAAGCTGAAAGAGCATATTAAAATTAGGTAACTCAAAAACAGCGATTGCAACGGTCGCCGAAGCTGAGTTAGAAGCATTTGTATTATATGGGAAAAACAACTTTTGCCACCCAGTCAGGTTTGAATGGTTTTCCAAACAAATCCTTGCAAATTCTAAAATTTTTAAACTGTCGTTAAATCTTTCCCTGTTATGAATTAAAAGGAGATTTGAGCCCTGTAATGTTTAAGGAAATATTTGATGACAGTTTTGAAAATTTCGAAATCTCAAGGATTTGTATGGAAAACCATGCAAGCGTGACTGGATGGTAGAAGTTGTTTTTCTCATACAAATGCTTCCAACCAACTTCGGCGGCTGTTGCAATTGCTGCTTTTGAGATTTACGGCTCAAAATTCTCAGGTTAACTAATTTCAATATGCTCTTTTAGCTTGTTCTAATCTGTTTTCGTGTTTACCGAAAGCTGATCACGTGATCAAGTCATGCCAAGAGCCTATTTCATACTGTAAAGCCTCTCTAATAATCCCCCCCCCTTTTACAGGGGAAGAAAGTTACTAAGCCCCCCTTCCCTCCCCCTATTATTATTGACTAATGATTGATGGACTGTATTAATCAATCACGACTGTAAAACTTTGTTTGGACTGATCTAGGATGGTTTATTCATCAGCTGGAAGTTTGGATTTGTTTTCGATCCTCGGCTGCATGACTTTAACTTCTTGTACTTGCGCTTTTCCACTTTGCATTCTAGTTCTCTATGGATAATTTATACTATCATCTTTGCCAAATTAAATAAGCCCCCTAGAGGTGTTTGGAGGGCTTACTAGAGGATTTACGGTAAGCTACCATATTTATTCGAATAAGCGCCCAGCCTCGAATTAGCGCCCACCTCGAATAAGCGCCCAGCCTCGAAGAAGAGTCCACCCCCACCCAACCCCACCCCTCCCACTCAAACTCAAATAAGAGTTAATAAGATATTCTCCCGAAGACGGAGTTTTTTTTTCACAGTAGTTTACGAAAACCTTGCTTTGTTAAATCTTTGCGTTTTGTTATTACCAGTAATTTCTTTGTTGCAAAATAAACATTCTAAAATAAACTATCTCATTGAATGAAAAAAATGTGGCAAACAGTACATTAGGGAGACCAAGCGCCATCTCCATCAACGCTTTGGGGAGCATCGCAGCTCCATTCTCAACTATGGCCACTTTCCTAATTCTACTCCCGTCTCCGAACATTTTAATCAAGCCGATCACCATATCAACAACGTCCTTCTTATTCCCTTTGAACTAATCCGTAGCAACCGTGATTCTGTCTGAAAGGCACGCGAAGCTCACCTCATTGATTAAGCTATGACTTTATACTGAACCTCATGGTATAAACAGACGTGATGAACTCAGTTAGTGACATTTATCTTTTTAGTAGCCTATCTTTTTCTGTTTGTTATGTATTCAAATCTCGTATATGTAAGGTTATGTAACGTTCATCTTTTATCTGTACTCATTTTTCTTTTCTATTCCCCCGTTGAACGTTTGTGTGGCAAACCGAAATATTGGGCAAATAAAATTCACCACTTTAGTTATTTTTGTTTTCTTTCTTTATTTTTTCTATCACTCTTCCTGCCGTAAGGATCAGTTTACTATTAAACTTTGGTAAAATAAAAATACTACACCCGCTGAAAATGGTGAAAATTTAATAAGCGCCCAGCCAATAAGCGTCAAACCGAAATCTCAATCGAAAAGCAAAATGGCGAAGTGAAAAACAAAGAGTGAAACACAAAAATGGAAAAGTGAAAAATAAAAACGAAATCACTATCTGGCCTCCCTGGGCTTCAATACCCACTCTCAAGGTCCAAAAATTTAGTAAGCGCCCAGGGCGGTTAATCGAATAAATACGGTATGCTCACAAGCGTCATGCAGAGGAGAGCTGCAACATGACCCAAGTCGTGGTTTGTCGGCTAGACGGAGCACGTAAAGGTTTCAATCTCAATGAACTGATATGGGAAATTCTATATAAGTCAATGATTGAGAAAATGCGTTTTGGGTCTCTTTTTTCGACCCTGCAAAAAACTGATATGGGAAATTCTGTATAAATCAGTGATTGAGAAAGTGCGTTTTGGGTCTCTCTTTTCGACCCTGCAAACCACAGAAAATGTTTCGTGTCGCGGTGCATGCAGATGGAAACTTTTACCGCCTGCTAGGCACTTCATATCACGTGAGAAAATACTGAATGTACGCTACATGCTCCCACGCGCGGTAGAACGTTCAAGACTTAGCTAGACTTTTAGTCACGTGAGCCTGTTCTTAGTACAGAGCAGTGTTCCAGACGGGTATAAGGTTGTATCGGTTTTCGTCAGTTTCACCGATGCCGTTATTTAAAAAAGGCTAAGTGAGGCCAGTAAATAAAAGTAACATAACGTTGAAAAGTGAAGTCAAAAGTATGGATCAAATTCGAACGTGCCGGAATTATAATGGAGGCTAAAGATAGAGAAACCTCATAATTTTTGTCAATGTTTTTGTTGCTGTATTGGCCCAGATTGAACCATAGATAAGCGCGCCATGGGACCTCCGTTTTTCGCTTCAGCAGCTTGGGCCTTTGCCCTTTTCCCAGTCACGTAACGAGGGAACATTAATATCAGTTCGTGAATGAGTGGTGGTTAAATTTAGCCTTAGATGGTTAGTGTTTTTCTTTTATCATTTTAATGAGCCAATATATTCACTAAGAGCTGTCAGGTGATAAACTTTTATACCAGCTTGTCTGTTTAGCTCACTAGGAATAAATTAGCCATTATTACTCCGTAAAAAAATTCAAATATGGTTTTATTCTCCTTTCGGGTTCAACTTCACAACTGATCTATTTTAAGTCGTCTTGGGATGATGTCACCTCATTTGGCAATGATCTCTTATTCAAACTCATGAACAATTACTGAATTAAAACGACCTTTCGAACTTGGATATGCAACCTTATTAAATTTGCAACTTCTGCTTCAAGTTTGTCCAAAAGAATAAGCTTGATCCGTCGAGGCATCAATGCAACGATATATCACACACTTCAAAAAGTGTTTCGTACTGAGCTATCTTGGTCCAAAAACCTCGGATGATCTTGGATCAACATAGTTCTCGATGTTATCTGATGGAATGCGATTTTTCCTATGGCTGCTATATTGACGAAAAAGGTTCAAATAACTAAGCACGACTATTGCTGACACGAGCTATCATGCTATAGGCCGAAGGCCAGGACGAAAATAAATTGCAACTAAAAAGAAGATAAACTTATTTTTTCTGTTTTGCCTTAGTTAATCGGGAAAAAAATCTTGTACTTCACACCTCTTGAGGAATCAACTACATATTAAACTGATATTTTGCCCTAGAAGCACTCCGTGTGTGAGCAAGATAACTAGATATAATATTAATACTTTTTTAGTCATTAACCCTTATACCGCGGTGGTTTTTAAATTAACACGCAAAGAACGTATCTTATATCTCAGTGTTAGAATACTTAGCTACTTAATTTATGAATGAGGCTTGACAAACGCAAAATTTTGCTCTTGATATTGCTAAATTAACTAAAATTGTTAACTTCTCAGGATCCTGGCTGACAATACTTGTTTCGCTTTCTATATACTTGGCTAACATGGCTGTACGCTATTTTGATTTTTTTTTGTGTGTGTGTGTGTGTGTGTGTTTTTCTTTTTAACTAGTGTTTCAATCAAATTTTGGTGCATTAATTGAAATAGTTTTATACAGAGGGTGATTTTAGGGGGCCAATTTCTGAGCCATAATTCTTCCTCTGGTCATCCTACACGTATGTGCAGACCCCACATAACGGTCACCAACTTCGAGAAGCGCTTGACTCTTTTGTAATGTACGTATTAAACGTTCTAATTTTACGCTTCTTTCAGGATTTATAGACTAGAAGAAAAGACTGCGGAATTCTTCACCACTATTGTAATACAATTTAAGCTCCCCCTTTCCAACTCGAATTGTTAAGTGTTCACTAATTGTTCCTGTTTTTAAGACTTCCGCAACAGATCAGAAACACTTAAATGTCCCCGCCGGTTTCCGTTTAAAAATAGAATATGCCGTCAAGGAAGGCTGCCATTTCAAAATAAGCCCTCAAGGAAACTGTTTCGGACTGAAACCACGCGTCAACCGGGAACACTCGTTGAAAACAAGGAACAATAAAAACTTTTTAGATGTTAGCAGCAGGAGAGTACGTTCATCATGGCACAACAAATGGTTCAAAGTTCTTCAAACGCAAAGTCCACTATCGAAGGTCAGCGCTAAAACTGGTTGCGTGATCGGTGAGAGTTTATAGCACTGTTTTTGGAACCAAACATACGAGCTGTTTCGCTTTCATTAGAGTAAATCTAGGCCAAAGAGTAAATAGCTGGTGGTTGACAGATGCGAGGAAGGCAAAATAAATTACCAAATATACTTGAAAGAACCTTTACGTGAAAGATACCGCACCATCCCGTGTCGCCCAAGACTGGAACCGGAAATCAAAGGCGAAAAAGGGTGTGGCACTAAGACATGTTGGAAGGCGGGAAAAGTTGCTGGTTACCAATACAAAAGAGGATTCAGAAGCAAAAACATCCTCTCATGATATTGTTCTGGAATCTTCCCCCGGGAATCTTCCCTGCCTGTACGCCTACTTGTTCCACTCGAGGACGGTTAAATTTTAATCAGTTTTCGAAAGCCCTGAAGTAGCGCAAGACTGCTATTGTTAGCGGAATAAGGGCAGTAGAGATGAAATTTGGCAAGACTGTTTTTGGCCATGAAATGAGATGCTTCAGCTTTCGATAAAATAGGTTGTATTTGTGACGATAGCTCAGTATCTGATGCCTATAACACTGCAGCTGTCTAATCCGTTATAAAGCATTCCAAAGATAAGACCATGGTGCTGCCTGGTTTTTACAATATATTTTTTATCTCTCTTTGTACCAGTCTAAAAGCACCGGAAAAAATGAAGATTCCGCTGCCTTCAAGAAACGGTTTCTAAGCGATAAATCAATTTATTAATGCTTTACAAGAAGGTTTTTCGACCTATCCTATTCCACCGTGACCTATACTAGGTCTTGGTTCAGTTTCTTTCCAGTTTGTTTGCTCGAAAAAAACCGCATTGTGTAATGACTTCCTTAACGAAGTTAGCATGCAAACTACTTTTGCGGGTATTACAGAAACACAAAAGATTCTGTTCAATAAATTGCTTGCAACAACTTCCGGTATTTGCCAAAGTTATTTCCATATTTGGACACCCACGCCAAGTTTTATGACATCTGCCCAGAATTGAATAGAAAACAAGTTATCTTACTTGATATCTTTTTATTGCACGAACAACGGTCTTAATTATTTTATTTAAAATCCAAATAAAAGGAAACTTTGAAAAACGAAAAATAAAGAACATGGTGGTTAAGAAATTATTACATACTTAATTTGATTTGCACAGCAGTATTTGAAATAATTTGAGAGTGTTCCGCTATTTTTGCTCTACTTTTCGCCCCTATGTAGTGATTTTATGTACAGGTAGAAATATTTGCTATCCATATTTTATATCGACATTTCGGTTTGCTTTAAGAAACCACATTAAATCTGATCAAAATTCCACAACAAACCATTTAATTTAAGCGTGTTCGATAACAGGATAAAAGGAAAATAATGTCATGTTATGATCGGATGGTTTACCCATCCTTATAAGCCCCCAAGCACAGTTGATCTAATTTCTAATCCTTATTTTGCAATGACAACGTGATGAATTATTCGTGTCTTCTAAAAATGGTATTTACATGCGGTCAACCGAGTTATGAAGTTACTGGGGTACAGAACAGTGTACACATATATCGCCATAATAAGTCCTAATGAATTAAAACTGTTATTGCGGGGCAAATATCACTGTTATTTTAAGATATTATTTGCATTATTTCGCCCTTGCAAGGTTAAAAAGTTATCCGTGACAGCTGCAAAATACAATTTTTTTATGAAAGGGGAGAGTCATTTCGTCAAAAAGCAGCTTCGCGAAAAGGCGAGGTTTATCAAGTGATGTCACATCCGGAAAGTTGTTAACAGAATTACTGAAGCAAAATACGCAACTTTTAAAAAATTCGTCTTTTTATAGTATTGAATATGGAACATTTCAAATGGTGCTTATACTAAATGTGACTGTCAGATATCAAGCCATTACCATACTTAGCAATATACCATTTGGCGTATTCCAAATGTCCAAAGATATGTGGTTCATTATTAGCCCTGATTAGACAAGTAGCTCGAGTGTGGCTGCCAAAACCGACCAATCGGAAGCCGCAGTAGCCATTCTATTTCAAAGGTCAGCGGGTCTCGTGCACGACTACGTTTAACAGGAGCGGTGCGTAAAACCACTACTTGTTCCTTTCCTTGCGACAAATTCACTAACCGGCGCTTCTCATACGACAGAGCGCCAAAAAAATCAGGCCAACGGTTGTCTCCACTCTGGACAGGTTAGCAAATAGCGTTTTACCGAGATCTTTATCACGCTACTAATTGACGAGGCTACCTTATTTCCACGACGTGACAGCAATCAAGTTGAAAATCAAATACCGAGACGGAGTGTTTGCGAAATTCGACTCTGAAATTTAAGCCCAAGTTAGCACGCGGACGGAATTCTTTGTTGCTCGCTTCAATCACGAACCAAGGAACCTTCTGTTGTTTGGTGACATGTTGGAAGTGATTCTTTAAACTGAAGCTGTTTATATGCTTAAGCGGTAAACTGCAGCGAAGAACTGTTTCGTAATTATTCTCGCGGTAACGACGTCTGCTCAGAGATATTTACGCTTTGGATCAGAAGTTTCTTTGGAACGCGAGAATTGTGGTGTACATTTCACGTTTTGGATTCCTTGCACATGTTTGATGTGCTTTTGGATTGCTTTGTTGTGTAACTTCTCTTGAGAAAGTGAGCAGAAAACCCACGATATTAATTGAGTATTATGACTTGCTGCAGTTGAAAACAATGGCTTCCCCGATTAAACGAATCATGAGCCTGCGGGAGTCGAGGAACTCGACAGTCTCTCCACACTCATCACCCTCGACCTCGGCTTCGCAGGCTAATCGAAAGCCGAAATTTTTGAAGATTCTGAGAAGGCAATCTTTTAACGGGAGGAGAAAAAGCAATGATTCAAACAATGAGCAGGAAAGAAAGGAAACCGATGCACCGGCGAAGCCGGCCAAAACCTCATCGCAAACACGCGATTTGGAGACCTTTGAGCAATATTACAAAGAGCTCCGCAGTGCAGTTCAATATTTTATTCTTGTTGTGGACAAGTTCAAAAGCAACATGGAGATCGTGATGGCAAAGATCCCCGATAATACTTCGATCGTCCTGGAGTCAGTGATTAACATTGATAATATGTTAGATACATGTCTTCGTTTGCATTCCAACAACATAGATCTGATCCCGCACAGAAAGCTCGTTCACGAGCGCATCGCGGAACTTGTCCGTTGGACAGATCAGCTTTTAGTGCGGGGTAACGTGAAGGGAAATCTCGAAGAGGGCGTCGATTTTGTCAAAGCGCTCGATCAAAGTATGAAAGAATTTGCGGATCTTGTTATTCCACGACTTCGAAAGCGAGAGGTAAACGATGAAATCAGAAATTCAATTTTCATGTTTGAAGGCAGTAGTGAAAGTATCCAAGTTGGCGAAGATGTAAATTCTGAAAGCAGTAATGGGCAATGGTCCTCCAACAAAAGAGATTCAGGTATTAGTGAGGGAAGCCTCAGTGGAATGGATTCATCTTCTAACAGGCCATCACCCACTACTTCACGAGACTCAGGTCGTGGTTCCATCAACTACATCATTGATTCTGACTCAAACCATAATGGCTATTTAAGCCCTCCAGAACCACCAGTGAGGGGACGTCACTCTTACAGACGTACAGCAAGTTACCAAAACCAAATCAATAGAGCTAAAGACTCTGACTGGTCACTCAGTCAAGCAAGTGATTCATCCAGCTATCGATCTCTTCCTCAGTCCCCTGTTAGCTTCAATGATGAATTCACTGGGCATGCTTACCTTTCTGCTTCCAGTTCCACCGGAGAGGAAGGGTCATTTTTCTCTGCTGATGAAGGTGATCATATGACACCTTTTGAAGAACCAGACAGTCCCATTATTCAAGCCTCATTTCTAGGATATATTGAAAACCATGAAATATCCACACCTAAGAGGAAGGCATTCCAAGTTTACATTGAACTTGTTGGAAATTACACCCAGCCTTCCGACGGCATTCTTAAGCGACCATCATCAGCATATGAAGGCTATCAAGAAACTTTCAGGAGGAGCATTACACAAAATAATTCTCCAAATCACCACACTCCGACTGGACTAAAGAAAGACATTTTTATTTTCCGAAATGTTGCTGATACTGAGCGATCTCATTCATTGCCAATACTTCAAAGTCCAACTAAAGTGCCTTCAAATTTCACCCAAGACTTGAATAGGAACATACAGACAGAAATGACCAGGAAGAAGCTGCTCCCACTTGAAGAGGAGCGAAAACGTAAACAGAGTAACACAAGCAGCAGTTCAAGTAGTTTAAGTGGTACAGAAGATGAAGATCACAATACTCCAGCGCTTGATTGCTTGGATGTTTCTAGATTTCTTGTTTACCGTGATGATGATGATGGTCCAACACTTATCGGTGGAGCAATAGATGCCCTGATAGTCCATGCCAGTGGCTCTACCAAGAGAGACTTGGTTTATTACGAAGCGTTTCTTACCACATACAGAACATTCATCTCTCCAAAGGATCTGATTAACAAGCTTCTGTACAGGGAAAGAAGGTTTCGAGAAAAAGGCTGTAAGAAAGCTAGCCAAAATGCTTTCTTCTTGCTTTTGAGGGTTGTCGACGAGCTCACAGGAAAAGTTGAGAGAACCATTTTAGAGCAGCTAATGAAAGAAATCTTTCGCCTTCTTGTGAATGGACACATTGTTCTCGGAAAGATTCTGCGTGAAAAGATGCTGCCTAAATGTGAACATTACTACAGGTCTCGTAGCCCTTCTTCAATTATTCACCCTGTCATTCCAGATCCATCTCAGAACTACTCTGTCCTTGACTTCCATGCTGAGGAGCTGGCCAAGCAGCTTACTTTGATGGATGCAAAGAACTTCCACAACATAGAGATTCCAGAAATACTTTCTTGGGGTAAAGAGCAGAAGGAAGAACATTCTCCAAACCTATGCATTTTCACTGAACATTTCAACAAAGTTTCCTATTGGTGCCGAACTCATGTTCTGTCTTTTGAGAAACCACGAGATCGAGAAATGGCTTACTTGAAGTTCCTAAAGATCATGAAGCACCTTCGAAGGTTCAATGACTTTAATTCTTTCTTTGGAATCCTCTCTGCTTTGGACTGTTCTGCAGTAAGACGATTGAACTGGCCAAAGCATTTGACAGATGGCTTAGCTGAGTATGCGACGTTGATCGACAGCACCTCATCATTCAGAGCTTACCGTGAGGCCCTGGCTCTTGCAGAACCACCTTGCATTCCTTATCTTGGGCTTATTCTTCAAGACGTGACCTTTGTTTACCATGGCAATGCAGATGAGCTTCCTGACGGCAAGGTCAATTTTGTGAAGAGGTGGCAGTTGTTTAATATTATGGACAATGTTCGCCGATTTAAACTCAATTCTTATGACTTTGAGTGGAATGATCAAATTGTGCATTTGTTTGCCAGAATGGACAATTTCTTGTCAGAAGAGGACTTGTATGACAGATCACTGAGATTAAAGCCCAGAGAGTAAGGATAATAATTATTGTCCTTAAGATACTGAATTAGAACTTTTTTGCTATATCATTGGTTTGCTATGGAGTGGTATTTTGTATTCCAGCATTGCATTTTTTTTTAAATTTTAGTTCAGCACCAGCTTTCCTTGACTTGTGCGACTGAGGAACTTGCGCACCAAAGATATTTATTCACATTTTCTCTTGCATTCTGTGACTTTGTATAGTTAACAAAAATAGGTTTTGGTATGTTTACAGTAGTGTAACATATGCAATGAAAGAAAAAGTTTTAGTATTAACCTACCCTCCATAGTTGGGCAGGGGGGTGGGGGTGCATTTTTACCAATTAATAAGAGCTTGATACTTCATTAACAAACACGTGTATGGCCGGATTATTTTTGTACCAAAGTAACTTCCTTGACTTCTCATGGGTCACTGATAATACCTATCATATAGGGAAAGTTGAGGTAGAGCAAATCATGCATGTGGGTATTTAATTGAGAAAAAATTTTATAAGCTGTGTATATTCATGCCATCAATCTTCGGCTTCGAAGGGTGGGCATTATTGGTAAATAATAACAATGATATTCATCTCTCTCTTTGTTGAACACCCTTACTGCTACATTTGGCGTGGGTTATAAGAGTCTGTATAAATTGAATGACAGTGAAACCTGTATTAAGTGGACTCCATAGAAAGCAGATGCCCTCTGTTAGGCTAATACATGCCATTTTAAAAATCTAAACTTTTCCTCTCGACAGCTCATTGTAGCTGACAGTAACAAGGTCCCCTTGATCCTTGCTTAATTCAGGTTTTATTGTGGCAATATTTCTTTGGTATGCCTGGGACAAGGCCTTGATGTGATAGTTGTGTATTCATTGTAAAGTTTATCCTCTGTAATATGGAAGTTAAGTGTCCCCACTACAAAAGTGTTTGTCTTATTGAGGTAGAAATTGTCTGAAATTTTGTATCATTTTGGTCAGGTGAGCTGTCCATGACAGACAGCTGTCCATAAAGAGAGCTTTTATAATTAAAGTAAGTTGTTCCAAAGCTGGATTTCTTAGCAGTAGCCTTGATTACAAGAGGTCTTTTTTGGAAACATTTCTTTTTGTCTAGACAAATGAAGGCTTGTAGTCAAAGGCTGATGTGAGAAAAAATGCTCTGGCAGAGGCTACTTTTATTGCAACAAAAGAAAATGATAATTTTTTATTGCAGAAAATGCTAATATTAAGACAGTGTTAATATTTTAAAACCTGAGGTAGCAACTTTGAAACATTGGCGCAAAAACAGGAAAATAAATAAAGAACCCTTCTTTTGTAGATAAACCAATTAACTTTCTTACAGTAACTAACAGCATGAAGTTTTTACATTGTACTTAAAATGTTTTATTACAGCTGCATGACTGCTGTTGCTTTTATATACTTTCCAGTAAACACTAAATGAATGTAATTTATTTTTGTGTAAGTTATGAAATTTTGAGTGAATGTAGGTTTAAAGAAGTAATTTTTAATTCAAAGAAAACATATTTTTGCAAATAAAGTTGAATATTGTTAATGTGGGTGAGTTTGGTTTTAATGGATCATTTTGTGCCTAATTTTTCTTTTTTATGGGTGAAGAAAATTGACTGTCTTGGAATATGATTATAGTTTATGTAAGTCCAGTCCCTACAAGCTTAAACAGATTTTCCCTTGGTGCAGGAAACAAGATACAAATCTTATTTGTGATCAATTTTGTCTTCGTTTACAGACATCCCTGTTGTTTTTGAAATACAGCAAATAATTTCTTTGTATATTTTAAAATGTAATTTTAACATACGATTTTAACATATGATTTGTGGGCGAAGGCTGATGCATAAATAAAATTATTCTAAAAGTTCCAGGGCATTGCCCTTCTACTTTTGGTCAAAAAAGTTTAAGTCTTAAGTTAAAGTGTCCTATATTTTTTGTACTTAAATTTGGAAAAATGTACAGTAAGATAAAAGCAGTCCCCTTGGTAGTAATTACTATATTGTCACTGTAGGGTTTCATTTACAGACTTGGAAACGGAGGAAAATAAAACATAGCTAAATAATTTATGTTAAAATTACAATATTAGCCACAATTTAAATATTTTAGTTTTCCAGCATCTTGATCAGCTAAGGACTCTTCAAAGTATCAAATCTCCAATGCAAGTTTGTTTTTTACTACAAAAAAAAATACAGTGACACATACTCTGGTGTTAAATTCTGTTACCGGAAACCATTTGTAACAATAGAAATTTTTTTCTTCCTGTAATCATGATCAAGGATCTTAAATAGGATTTCTTAAGCACGCCATTAGCATAAACCAAAAATAATGTTTATTGTTGTTTACGTTTGGTCAGATCGCGAAATAAGGTAATCAAAGTGCGACAGAAATGGAGTTTTTAAAAAATTCACATTTGCCGGTCTAGTTGACGTAGGTGGTTTGTTCTTAGTTAAGGGATTAAGCGTTTGTGTGAATTTGTAGCAGATAAGAAAAGAGAATCCTTTGAAGAATTTAGCTAAGAACGCTGAAGAAGGCGTTTTATTTCACGGTGTTATCGGCATTTATCCTGTGATCTGGAATATGAAAAATGTCTAATTTTGTGGAATATAATCTTGATAATCAGATAATGAGTTGGTATTTATATGCTGTTCATTGCAAGAAATGCCCACAATGCAAATGAAGCCAATGACTTCAAAGTGTGAAAGAGCTTCCTATTCATTAGATTTCCTTGATTAAAACAAATTGATAAATCCCACATGGTTTAACAGATCAATTAGATTTTACCTCGGATTTTGTGGATTAGAGTTATCCTTATCTTATTTTAATCATACTTTGGATTAGTTGTTTGAATCCTTTTAATATTTACTGCGTATAGTTGAAAATACTGCTTCTTTTACCTGTTAGAAATGGCACTGACACAACAAGTGAAATTGTTTTGTGCATTATGGATCATTAATTTTTGGTATGAAGTCCATTCAGTTCTCGTGTTGTATTATGAAGTCAAGTCAATTCTTAAGCGATCAGGTTTTAATTCTTTAGATGTATGTTCTAACTGAAATTGTTTTTAGATATTTTCAGAAGTATAAAACGTTGTTGGTAATTTGTGGTTTATAAAAGTCAAGGTTAAATTAATGGGAGTATTTTGAGTTTAATTCTGTTGATATAATCTAAGAAGGGGAAAAATTCTAAGGTAAAAAAGAAAATTAAAAATGTGTAATTATTTTCATAAATTTAATTCTTGGCCTTGTTGACAGATAAAAACTTGACTTAGGCATTTAACCGAAGTTATTTTTTTCACATGGCGAATATTAAAGTTATTATCTTACACAACAAATGCTAAAAATATCACTAAAACATTTGCATGTTGTTATTCTCATGCGAAGCTAAGGTCAGTTCGAAGATTACATACGGAATCTGTTTATCACACATAGAAAATTAACAATTTGTTGTTTTGTAGACTTTTTAAAGTTGGCATTTGGAGTTGACAAGACACTGTACAAAGTTTTTCTTAGGTGTAAAAGAATAATTTGTGAGCGTGAAATTGAATAACAGCGTCAACAACGTGCTGTACTGCGTTCACTCGAGAATTAAAGAATTTGAAACACGTTAATTAATTGAATACGCCTTCGATAAAGCATTCTTGAAATGACAAATACGTCCTTTGGGAAAAGCTTGACCCGACTTTCTGTTCGCCAGGGGAGTGGGGAAAGGAAACACCGGTCAGCGGATGGAATCGTTGTTTCAGTCTAGTGTGTCAATTCGATTGATTCGATTTGCTTTCATCTTTCAATTGTATTTTCTTCTAAATTGCTGGTAAAATATGACCACTTTGGACGATAAACTTCTTGGTTTCAAGAGCCAGAACTACGTGTCGAGTTCTGAGAGTGAAGGAGAAGAGGATGATGGAAATATTACTGAAGAAGACAATAGGGACGATGTTATAGACATTGGTGGCATTGCTGCACCGCCAGATTTTCGCCTTGAAGTGCCCAAGGTGGGTCTACAAATCTTTGATGATTTGATTAAGTGATATTTCCTTTTTCCTGATGTTCGTGATGTCTTTAAAAAGGTCATATGTAGTATATTAACGGCGTACCAAGATGTTGCTAAAAACATTTCAGTAACCTTCCTGTAACCTTGTCATGACAAGTTGATTGCTGTCTTTAACAGTTCATTCTTCAATGCTGAAAAACTATAATGATGTGATTCAGTCTTGTTGTTATCATCCCACCCCACCCTTGAGTACCCCCCCCACATCTTTAAATATTGAGAATCGATTTATTGATGGGGAACTAAGGGAGGGATAATGGATGACGTCATCATGCATGACACATCACCTCACTTGTCAAAAAAAATACTTGTTGACTCGGATCGCCACAAACTTGCGATGACACAAAACTCGTGAAAAAGGTATTTTTACTTCCCGCCAATCATATTATTATAAAGTTACCATGGCATACCAAAGTTTATATGAAAACGTTTGATGTTAACATTAAAATAACTCAAACGACGCAAAATAGCTGAAACTCTTAAGTATTGTCAGAAAGTTTTCACACTCTAATCTGGAGACCGGGAGATATGGTCCAAAATCTGGAGTCTCCCAGATTACCTAGGAGGGTTGACAGCACTGCCTATATCTTTAGCCTGGAATTTACCACAGGTCAAAAGCAGAGATGCCAACTTTGGAAATCTTAAATCTGGTGACTCTCTATTTTGCACTACTCCGAATGTCAACAGCCCCACAGACCCCCAACCCCCCTCCCCCAGCCTACATGTTGACCCAGCCACTGTGGATTAGGCCATTATGTGAAGTCGTACATGAAGTACATGCTATCAAAATTCACTTTCATCATTGTAATGATGAAATAATCTTTGTCGGTTTCAAAATACGTGCAAAAATGTTCTGGAAACTGTACAATGAATAAAAGAGTTTGAATTTTGAGAAAAAATGGGCTAAATTTCAAACTAAAGCACAGAAAAGCTCAGAAGTCCATTTTATGCAGGAGATTTGGTGACCCATATGCGAGAGTAGGAGATCAGTTCTGTATCCAGGATGCTCCCTAATAATCCAGGAGAGATGGTGTATCTTGTGAAAGTAAGTCTGGGTCCAATCAACAGGCAGAGGAGTCCAGCAACCCCTGCACTGTGTCTACCTCATGGTGTTTTCACAGCTAGCAGTCTACACAATTTGAGTACTTTTTTCCTTAAAAGTGGAAGTTATCTGTTCCATATGTGATCAATACCAGTAGGTTAACATGTAAAAACTACAAAATGATAATAATAATAATAATAATAATGATAATAATAATAATAATAAGATTCATGAAGGGACTACCCCAGGGGGACGCGTTGTGTCCTAGACTGTTTACACTGTGCCTGAACCCTGTAGCGTGGCGCCTGCGGGCAACAGAAGGATACCGGTTATCCAAGCCTATAGGAGTCAAAGTCACCGATCTCCTGTATATCGACGACCTCAAGGTTTTTGCTGCCTCCGAGAGCAAGCTGAACCGAGTGCTGAAAGAGACTAGAGGAGCGATGCAGGACATCGGCCTCCACTGGAATAAAAAAAAGTGTTCAGTGGTACACGTGAAGAGGGGAGCCCAAGTGCTAGACGAGTCTGGAATGAGAATGGACGAGACAACTACCATCACGGCTCTTGGGGAAGGAAAACACTACAAATTCCTGGGGGTGCTAGAGAACGTTCGACGGGATGAACGGCTGGCCCTAGCTTGCGTGGCTAAAGAGTATCTACGCAGGATATCTATTATATGGTCCAGCCCCATGTCTGATTGTAACTGTGTGCAGGCAACTAATCAGTATGCACTCCCCATCCTGCGGTACCTAATGTGGACACAGCATTGGCCTCTATCAGAGTTAAGAGATGTGGACAGAGCAGCTCGGAAGATCATAGTTGAGAACGGTGGCAAGCACCCAGCTAGCTGTAGCCTGACTTCTTTGTTATATCTACCGAGGGAGAAAGTGGGTAAAGGCCTGCGATCAGTCGAACACGAGTACAAGATCACTAAAATCAAATCGCTACTGAAATTGTATCAGAACCGTATCAGATGGGAAGATGAGAGCCTAAGCATAACCAGCTGCTTTGCATGGTTAAAAGTTGGGCTACATGCCCTACACATACCATCGCGGGCATGTATGAATTGTATGAGCAGTTGTTACCTACGAAGCTCTACACAAAGGAGAAGATGCAAACCTCCACCGACGGCGAAGTTCTATGCAGGTTATGTGGGAAGGTAGCTGAGAGCATTGCACATGTACTGGCTGGATGTTCCTCCCTGGCACAAACCAAGTACCTATACAGGAATAATGCAGCTTTGAAGATTCTGTTTTTGAGCTCCTGCGAGAGCATGGGTTAATAGAAGAGGTTCCTCCATGGTACTCACCGGTGATGCCAAAGCTAGCCTACCAGAACACGATGAGTGAGGCGTTTTGGGATATTCCCATCTATGCAGAGCACAACGAAGTTTTAGAGCAAATCGGATCGACGCGCGACTTGTCAGCCACGAGAGGAGAGAATTCTGCACAAGTGAAATGAGCTGCCCATGGACTGAGAGTAGAGCTAAGAAAGATGAGGAAAAGACACTCAAGTATGGGCCCATGATGTGGGAGCTGAAGCAGAGATACAATGGTTACAGGGTTAAACAGTAAAACGTAATAATTGACGTACTGGGGGTTACTCTAAACACCTAGAGAAGTCAGTGAGGAAGCTACTTGGAGCGAGAGCACGGAGCGTACTTGAGCGGATGCAGAAGTCGGTCATCTCAAACACTTTAAACATTGCCAGAACATTTAAGATAAATACTTAGTTAGGGCGCTATGGACTTCAGCTTTTAGGTTTTTGTTTTTTCTCTAGAAATCTAGAAACACAAGCTTGCTGACGTTTTTACTTAGATTTTTTAGAACATTAGAGTTTGATATTATTATAAATAAGTTTTTAGTAGAGATAGGGAAGGTTTTACAGAGTATCAGAATTTAATAATATTCTAAATTGGCTTTTTAAGTAGAGAGATTTATATCACTATGTATAAGCTTTTAGTAGAGATAGCGAAGGTTTTACAGAGTATCAGAATTTAATAATATTCTAAATTGGCTTTTTAAGTAGAGAGATTCATATCACTATGTATTTTAGGATTGTATTAGGTTTCGTATCGACCTTTTTTTACTTCTAAGTATAGCTTCTCAAGTGGTGTAGGTTACGCTATGCGCCCTATACTACTCATAATGTGGACAGCATTCCAAAGTTTCATACTCCGACATATAATAATAATAATAATTTCATGAAATTGCCCAAGGTACCATTTTCTGCCCTGTGATTTTTGCTGATTAGTTTTAAGCTTATGCTTAAACAATAGTCTAAATTTTTTACCAAATTGTTCCAGAATAAATGGGCCTGACTTGTATTTGAAGGGGTTGTTGACTCTGGGTTATAAAGGGACAATAATTTGTTGGGGAAAGGAACAGTTACAGAAGGTTTGTTTATAAAGAAAATTAAGGTTTTATTGTTTTTATATTTTTTTTGCAGACAGGACCCAAAGGTGTCATTCAGGATTATCGTCGCTATAAACAGCTGGAAACTGAACAGAGGAAAGAGAAAGAAAAAGAAATGAAAAAGTTGGCTGAAAAATTTTCAGTTTCTTGCCAGAGTAGTGTAAGTTGGTTTGTTTTTATTATTTAAAATTCAACAAAATACTTCTGTTTTCCAAAAAATAAAAAAAAGGAAAGAAAAGGAAGAAAGGGAAAAGCCACAATAACCTAAACCTGGTTTAGATTATGATGACAATAATAAAATTAGAAATATTATTATTGCTCAAAACATCAGTTTTTGCACTTATTTGTGGTCTTCAGATTGTTTATTCTTATACCTTTTCGTGAAACAATGAAAATGGGATTGATAGCTTCATTACCTTAGTTACCTTCATGAGCCACACAAATAAACAAATAATCTCAGCTGTGTTTCCTGGAGGCTGTCCTTCTGGACCTTTTCTGCTCTTACTTCATCCACCTGTGACCTTTTCTTTTTTGTTTGTTTGTTCTCATTTTTGAAATATAGCTGGATGACCAAAGGGAAAAAGAACTTTTGAAAGAACTGGAGCTTGACACAGATGAGTTTATTCAACAATATCATCTTCAGAGACTATTACAACTAAAACAAGAGCAGGAACGGAGACTAAAACTTTCCAGGTTTTTCATTTAATCTGTAACTGAGCAAGCTAAAAATTATTTTCATCGTCGAGTTGTTAGACAACTTGATTGAACAAACCGCTGCCCGTTTAGCTTGGTTGGATAAGCACTGGTCTGCCAGGTGGGAGGTTATGGGTTCAAACCCTGGCCGGACCAACACTCAGAGTCTTGAAATAACGGACTGAGAATGTGTTGCCTTTAGACATTCTAGTCTTCTCAGATAAGGACTAAAAACCATAGGCCTCATGTCACACCTCTTTCACTGTTCTGATTCTTGTGGGACATAACAGAGCCCACGCTTCTGTTCCTAAAGAATAGGAGATGTTGTCCATGGCCAGTGGTGTGGTACAAATTTTCATGGGCTGGGTGGGTAATGAGAGGGTAATATAAATTGGGACGTTAGTCCTGTTTCATCCCCTGTCACTGTGTTGAGTCGCGGTGGTGAATTTCAAAAAATTATTTCTTTGGACATACACAAAAGAAATTAGACTTTCTCAAAGTCGTTCGCTTGGTTTTCTGGTCTGGTGTGGTAGGAAACTCTTATGCCTTTCAGTTTTCGACTTGTGAGCAAGTCTAAAAAGAAATGAACTTCTCCAACAAACTCTTATGCCTTTCTTTTCAGACCTAAATTTGGACAAGTACTACCATTACAAGGTAAACAGCAGTTTCTAGATGCCGTGGATAAAGAAGACCCCAATATTGTGGTAGTGATCCATCTTTATAGCGATGATGTTCAAAGCTGCAGAGCAATGAATGGCTGTCTACAGTGCTTAGCTCAACAATACTCGCTGGTAAGTAATCATGCCTTTCATCAGTAGTTGTTTATTGTCAAATCCACTGTTACAATGTTAGGTTTATAGTGTCTCACAGCTGTAACAGGATCTGTTTATTACCATTCTTGTTCGCTGGACTTGAAGTAATAATGTGTACATATTTTATTTTATATCTTGAGCTGAGTTAAGGCAGCAGTTTATTGCAAAAACAGTGAAAGGGGAATCCCTTAAAATGGGGATTCCTCTAAAATATGAACTTATTATTTGTTTTAAGGAAAGTTGCATGTCATAGGAAACATCCTTAAGTGGGGATCTTCATTTTGCATTTGACATTTTTTGTTCATGGATCTGCATCCTATGGGAATCCCCCTTTCTATTTTTTGTTTTAAAACACAATGCTCTGTGTGCCTACTCAAGTAATGGAGCCATCTGATGTGGGTTTATTCCACCCAAAAGCAAGCTCCACTGGAAATGATGTGGTTATAATTTTGTGTCTCTGAACAACTGCACCCTTCTTCTGACTTTATTGGAAAAAGAAAACTACTGTGATTGATTTTGACAACTAACATGCATATGTTTGCTATATTGTTATTTTAGGTAAAATTCTGTAGGATTTTTGCTGATGATACTGGAATCAGCAGACATTTTGTAAGTTCAGTAATCACAGTAACAACTCTAAACCAACAGGAACTCATCAAGAGCTTTATCAGTCTGCTATGTACAGAGGGCCCAATATAGAGCCTTGTTGCATGCCAAACACAACTCTTTCTTTGTCTGATCTTCTGTCATCCACCTGCACATAAAGATTGATACTGACTTGATAAGTAGTTTAATATCAGTATAAGGAACTCTTATTTTCAGACATCTGTAACTTCCCCCTTTGGTGGAATAAATTTTTTTGTCTAAGGAAACAACACAATGGTAAGGTTTTGAACCTGTTAACTTCTCAGCCACCACTCCTCCTTCAAGCAAGGTTAAAACCATAACATCTAGACAATGTTTATATATTCTTAACAGTGCTAATTTTTCTGTCTCTTTATTTTGTTTATTTTCTCTTTGGTGTCAGAGAAAAGAAGGCCTTCCTGCTTTACTTGTTTACAAAGGTGGACAAATGGTCGGAAACTTTGTCAAACTTGAAGACACATTTGGTGAAGATTTTTATGCTGTTGATGTAGAAAGCTATTTAATTGAGTAAGTATACCCCAATTCAAATTTAGCTGAAGAGTGTTGGCATGGCAGCACCATAGCTAGTAACTGCTTGTTGGTGTTGCGGTCACTGCAATCCCTAAATCACTTAATACGAGAGATTGAAGAAACACTGAAAAGGAACCACATGAGCACAGGGAAGCGAAACAAGACCAAGAAACACTCCTTTTGACTTAGGTCGTATTTTTTTTTGTGTAATCTCTTGACTAAATATTTTTTTCATGTTTACAATGGCAGGTAGTTTAGTTCTCCTATGTTAGGTGGCTCAGTTCCCCTAAGTCAAAAGGAGTGTTTCTTGGTCTTGTTTCGCATTCCTTTATAGACATCCTTGTTTGCCTACAGCCCAGCTGTGATATCAGTGAGCCACTAACTACTAAGACAATCGTTTGAAGTTTGAGAATCTTGCTTCAGAAAATATCCATCCCCCCACGGAGAATTAATTAGTTTGACGCGGCCCCACCCCCAACCAAACCCTCTTGAAATTTCTGTTCAAGTTGTAGCCTACAAAAACAGCAGTCTCTCGGGCCATACAGATGACGTTGGTGACCACATTTTTGTAAAAAATGGTCTAATGCTACATTAACTGTTACAGTCACTCTAAACTTGTATATAGAAACTTTATTTTCTGCATGATTGCTGTGCAGTCAAAGTGCATTACATTGTGTACATACTTTCTGGATAAAGCTTTAATTTAATCAAATAAATTTTTTGTCAACGAAATGAAGTGTAGTTAAGAGATGCCATTTTACCCTACTTTTCACTAAAAATTATAAAGTTTTGATCTCACATTCACCTCTACAATAAAACTGTATTGACCAGAATAGAAAAGGCTTTTAGAAATGCCAAATACCAAAGTTTCTCCTAAGTTTAAAATTTATCGATGAATTTTCATGGTTATTGAATAAAAACACCTTTTTAGCGGTGGACAAAATTTTTAATGCACCAAATTGCCAGTGCACAATCCATTATTATGCATCAAGGCTTGATTGTCATTCTTTGTCAGTCGTGCATCATGCCTTTGTCCTTGAGGCACCATTTAAACACAGTGAAGGCTCCTTTTGAGCATGATGAAGGCACCATTTAAGCGTGATAACTCATTTAAGCATCAAGGAAGAGGCACAATGATGTATGGAAAATTGTTTGAAAAAGGCTTGATGAAAGCAGAGTTAATGTTCAATAAAGGCACCATGAAGGCACTATCTATGCACGATCAATGAACTTCAGGCTCAATGCACATTTATCGGCTTCTTATGCATGATGGCAAAATTTGATCTGTTTTGTTATGGCTGTGATCACCAACATGGTGCACTGAGCCCTCCTTGCTCTTAAGTCCCTAGTGGCGAAGGGTGAGAAGAGATTGATGGCTGTTTTTGCAGGCTATTTAGGACAATACTTTGCTTTTAAAATTCTGGCCTTACAAGCCTTGCTCCCGCTTGGAATTTCAAGCATTGACCTCCCATTAGGTAGCCAAAGATGGTTTGTTGAACTGCATATTAGAAATAACCTTTGCAAAGGGATCCCCCTTTTTTAGGGGAGTGCTTAATTTTTATTTATCAGGTGTTAATTCTTCACATAGAAATCTCTGTACCTACAGGACTTATTTGTCTGCTTCCTTAGCACTACATTAAACAAATATTGAACATTTATATGTGTGGAATAACGGGCTACATCAGTTAGTGCTTTATAATTTCCTTACATTCCTTTACTGTTGAGGTTGGGCTGTTCTTCAGGCAACTTCTCTTAGATGTCATTTTCCTACAAGATGATTCAGGTTGTTTTTGTTTACATCAGCTGACATTGATATTTAACTTTTATTCCTTCTAGGAATGGCATTTTAACGGAGGAATTAGAATGCCAGCTAACAACAACAGTAGAGCCTAAAAAGGAAGATGACAGTGATAGCGATCTGGATTTGGATTAAAGTCATAAGTTTCTTTAAAACCACTGTGATCTTGTGAAACAGTACTGTACTCCACATAGTTTCCTTCTAAATCGTGCTAGACTTCAGGAGTTTTTTTGGAGTAATAGAATAATGAAACCAAATCATTCTGCTTTAAGAGTGAAGGCATAGCAAAAACAATAAAGGCCCCAAGTTGCTGCTGATCTAAAACCGTTTTAAAAGCTATTGGAGCTTTTAAATTTCATGCACCGCACCTAATTTGATTTTTAATGACATCACTAATAATAATAAAAAAATATAATAATATATCAACTCATTTTCACTTCTTTTTTGTAAAAAATAAAATACGTGTACAAAGTTTTTTTAAGTAGTGAAATACTAGTCCATGTACATTTTTGCTATTCTTCTTGATTGTTTCAATTCAGCCTCATTAAGAATGAGTTAATCTCACATACTTGGATTTTAAACATTTGACAATACAAAAAATGCACAATGCTTAAATCTGAGCAGTGCGTCAGAAACAATAATAGATAATTCTTCAAATCTTCCATTTTTTGCACAATCATTCTTTGAAACGAATACATTATGGTTGTCTTTTTTAGTACCAGAACAATACACTTTCTTCCAGGCTGCACTTTTTTAAGATGTAGGTATTGTCAAATATCTGCAGGCATATGTAAAAATGAAGGGAAATACCAAAAGAATAATGTATTAATTATTATTATATTATTATATATTTATGATGTAGTTCTTGACACAATGAAATTCATCAGGTAAAAATGGTTTCAACATAGTTTGATTCTCAATTTCCTTTGTGTCCCAATATTTAAGAAACAAAGAAAATTGATAGCATTACTAAAAGTAAAAATAAAAGTAAAAGTTGTTAATTGACAGTTCTCTCTCTTGTTGTTATTGCTTATCACGTTCATACTCAGATTTTTTTTCTCCATGCTTTCAAAGACTGCAAGCAGTCTCTCCTTTTCTTCAGATACAATGAGGGGAGCGCACGCGTGCGCGTGGGCAACAAAAGATTCGCAAAACAAGGGCACCAGTAGCCTGCGTTTCCGTTTGGTTTCGGAGCAAAGATAGACCGAGGAACGGGATTCTCGGTTTTGGCCGCGCGAGAAATGAAACAAGAGCTCTTTTAATTACGCCATTTTTCGCGCGTTCTTTGACTCTCGTTCCTCGTTCTTTGCTCCTAAACCGCACGGAAACACTTGCTACGCAGGCTAACGCACTAGCCTCTCCTGTCTCGCGCCTTCCAGGCCTTCAGCCACGCACGTGGTCATTAGGGACCTTAAGGAAGGACGACGACGACGGCAGTGAAAACAACGGTAAAAAAATGAATTTGCATTCTTTCAAACTTTCGACTTTTCCTGGAGTTGAATTCTTAAGGATTTTATTGAGGCTCAAAAAGATGAAGGGAAATTCGTCGAAGTATGTCCACGTCCTCCATAAAGGTTATGTTACACGAGACGATTCGCAACGACGATTTTTAGCATAACACAGCGTTGCAACATTGTTGCGGCATTGTTTTAAATGCTTGCAACATTGTTCCAACATTGCAACAATGTGTTGCGCTAAAAATCGTCGTTGCGAATGGGTCATCAGATGTTTGCAAAGTATTTTAAAAACTTTACTCGTAATAGTAAATATATTTTTAGCAGAGAACTTCAACAGTGAAAGTTAGCGAAACATTTTAAAAATATTACAATGATAATACTAATAAATGGAAAAATGGGCAAAAAAGAAAAGACTTTTTAGCGAGAAAATGCATTTATTAGTAGTTTAATAATAGATAATAACAAATGGGAAAATGGGGGCAAAAAAGAAATGACTTTTTAGCGAGAAAATGTAAATCGTCCCGTGTAACCACCTTAAAGCGTCAAATTCGGAGGTTTCACGTCGTAGTCGTGCAGTGGACGTCAAAAAAATGTACTAAAAAGCGTGATGCACGTACAGAGCTGTTGTTTTGATCATAAACTTGTTGTTTTTTTGAAGTCGTCGTTGTGGTCGTCGTCGTGGTTGCTTAAGCTCCCTATTTTCAGCTGTATTTTCGTGTCTTGTGCATTTTGCTAGACGGACTAAGAAAAAAAAGAGTCTGCTCGTAGTCTACGCTTTCAAGACTGAAAAAAAAACTGTGAGCAAAGCTACTTGAGTGGCCAAAATTGAAAGTATGTCAGCCTGGAAAGCATCGGCTCCCATCTCGTTAGGTGTTTCCTGCGGCACCCATATCTTCGAATACAATACCGTATGTCTTTGCTTTAAATTTAGCACAGTCACATGCTGTTGGGTCCAGGTACCTGTTTCTCCAGTTAGCTTTAATATTCACATCAAAATCTAAAGATAAAGCATGGGTTCCTAGCTAACAAACTAGTTCATTTTGTTTTCTTAACTGATCTTCTTATCTTTAAAATTATCTGCAAAATAATTGAAACCTTAATCTCGAATGTTAACAACAGCTGGCCGGTTTGAGAAATAGGCCCAAGGCCTGGAAAAAAAGGCCAGACCACAAGAAAGAATGTCAGAAAATAAGTTCTTAGACCACAATAACTGTTGAAGGAAACTTGACATAGGCAGTCTCTTAGGATGGTCCTCGCCACACCACACAGGATTTACGCAGAAGTGAATCCTCTTTCCTGTACACAAGCCCTATGAAGACAAAATATGTCGTTGTTTTATAGATTAGGTCTCTTGTGAAAATAGGAAACAGGAATTCATCGGGTGCCAAAGATTTTTATCCTTTTATCACCTGTTGATATGATTGTGCCAACCAGCGGCTTATTGGCTCTTTAAACAACGGGTGTTTTTGTTTCAGATATATTAAAATGACGAATAAAAATGACGAAGGTATAAATGTTTACTAAGATGAAATTCTGCTATTGCCGTCATGGGTACGAGGGATGGTGATAAATGCCACAGATGTGTGTTTCCTAGCAAAAATACCCCAAAATGTACGTAGTGATTTATTTGTCTGCTCGCTCATGGACCTCATGAATCTGACATTTTGAAATTGCATTTGTGCACGATTTCCGCCGTCTGAGACGAAACCACAGACATACATTACTTCCTGTGACTCTCCTCGTCTTATACGGAAGTTGAATTACGAATATTTTGGAGGAACGTCGGAAAGTTTCCGAAAATTTCTCGCCCTCCTCGTCATATCAAATTCTGAAATATGATTGGTATCTGATCAGTCACATGGCTTTTTCGGACTGAAAAAATCTTCGGAGTCTTCGCCCACGGATGTAAACAAAATGGCGGGCCATTGGTTGGTCATTTCTCATCGCCACGATGGGACGGTTATGGTGCTGCCCTTAACTTGTTGTTTAGCGGCGAAATGAGTTCAATACAGTCCACATTAGAAGCCTTGTCAAGTGTCGACTCTTTGGTCGGCACTTTGAAAGCATGTATTTGGAAGCAAGACAAAATTATACGCGAGCAACGAGAGGAAATAGAAAATCTAAAGTCGCTGGTGAGAGAACTTGAAAAAGAAAGAAAGGAGCTCCGCCGACAGATAGCCACAGAAAGGACAAATAGTTCCAACTCTAACGTTGACGAAACAAAAACACCTGATGAAAAGGACAGGTGAGGAAAGATATTCGTTTAGTGAAATTGGATATCTTAAAATAATGAAGTGGTGAATTGCTTTTAATTCCTAATCAGTTTCATTCATTCACGACCTTCCTCGCATTTTTCGTGCAGAGAAAGTGAAATTGTGTGATGTGTTGTGCCCTTAATTTTAATCTTATCTCCTTCGTGATTTACTAGTATTTTCGGTTTTCATCCTTTCGATCCGATTTAAACACTTTTAATAACTTTTGTAGGTTGGTTTCGTTCTGGGGACGTGGACACTTGAATATTTACACGAATTCAATGACAACACATTCTGGAAACTGTCATCAAATATTCTCCATATCTCGGCCATTTATGAAATAATTAAAATAGAACAGCTAAGTTAATTGTAATTTATAAAGAGGAGAAAGGCTTTTAATATATATGTAATTTTGTAATTGAAACCATGCAGCCACTTCAAAACAATAACAATTTTGTAATTAATAATATTACAATTCTTAATTTTACTTCCATATGTTTATAATACACCTTGAGTCCAGAACAATGTAGTTTTTTAGGAAATTTTACTAAAAATGTCTTGTAACCATGTTTTACCTTGTAACTTGATTACTTGAACATTAATAATATTAAAAATTTTCACTAAAATTAGCACCATCATTGAAGCAAGTACATTATGAATATTTTTTGATAAACAATAAGAATGTGAAAGTGCATTGTTGAGTTTCCAATGAGCAAAAGGGATTTTTGTTATCAACACAGCTGAAAAGCTAGACAAACAATTGCTTCTCACACTTCTTGAGTTTCTTACAATTCGCAAGTGCTTACATAAGGCAGTGTTTACACAAGAAAAGTTGGACTGACAAGAGTTTCTTAGTAGGGTGACTACTTGACCACTTGTGTCCAATGTGACGACACCAACTCGAGTGGATGAATATTCCAGTCCACCGAGGGGCTGATTTCGTACCAAAATGACTTGTTGCTCCCTATTTACACAATACCACATATATGAGATTTTGCACTGCAGCAAAATAGCAATTTGGTTGAATTTGTGCTGGCATAACATTTTTTTTTGGTGGTATGTTCAAAACAAATACAGGGCTCCCAGAGGGACCTGTATTGAACTCAGAAAAGTACAAAAGTTGCTGGCTGGTACCATGTAAACACCCCTTAACTTGATTAAGTGCCTGAGTATAAATTATGGAGATATAATGGGCTCGTTCTGACTGATCATAACATGCACATTTCGTTCAAGAAAGCCTATAAAAGCATTTTTATACATTGAATTAAAAAGCTTGCTACTAATGCATTATTATTGAACAATATTATCACATGGGATTGTTAAGAAGTTTCTGAGATTCCTGCTTATGCCCCTTACATGTACATCTCCTTAATGTACTAAATCTGATGAAGTATTCCTTTTTTCAGCAAAATCAAGGATTCCCAAAAGTCTTTTGAAACTCCATCTGAAAGACTTCCTTCAACTGAAGGAAGTGAGAATACTCCAGAAGTCTTTTCTACTCCAGAACCTCTGCGATCTCCTATAATCACCATTACAGCAGAACCTCCTGCAGGTACACCGAAATCTGAAAAGAAAGACATTTTTAAAACATCCGTCAAACGGAATGACAGCATAACACGACAAAAGTCCTTTAACAGAAAATATGAACTAAGTCCTGAACTTCAAGAGAGGAGTGTGATGTTTCTAGAGAGACAGTATGGAGGAAAATTGAAGGCGCACCACGCTGCTCGAGTCATTCAAGCTTATTATCGTACATACAGAATGAACAAACAGTTTAAAAGGATGAGAACACATTCTTTTACACCCGGGAAGGACTCGTATAGGTCAAAGTCTAATAGTGATCCTCGCTCTTCAGCTATGAGCCCTGCAGCAGTTAATTCTGAAAGTCAGGTCACTCCAGTGCTACGAATAAAGAAGAAGAAAAGTGGTGATAAGCGAGTCAAGTCAATTCTTATCATAGATAATATCAATAGCTTCCCTGGTGGAGAGGTCCAAAGGTATAGCACTGAATTTCTTCCAAGCGATCTCACCTCTATCTTTACCAGTATGACACCACAGAGCAGTGATGCAAAGAGTGAACAGAAAGAATTGCCTGATGAAAAGGCCAATGCAAGACTAGGAAGTGTTACCAGTGAAACAGAACATTATGTCAAGGTTGAAATTGTGGATAATGTTGAAACACTACCAAGCGATGCAGGTGATGTCTCTAACCAAGTTCCTAATGGGGATCTGTGTAAAAGTTCACGGAGGGAAACATTTCATGAAGATGGCTCTGTAATTGAGAGTGATGAATCAGGTATGATTATAACATATAAAATATTAAAACACCAAAATAAAATGCCACTACTTTTGCTCCTCTTTACAGGACTTATCTTGTACCATAGGTAAAATCTATTCTCAGGCTAAACCAGAATTGCCATTGTCTTGTATGAATAATAATGGCTAGGAAACAAACTAAGTTGAGTACTGGTTTAACCTGAGAAGGGTTTTTACCTGCAACAGTAAACATGTGAAATAGAATGTAGTGGCTTTTACTGTAGGGACAGAGCAAGATTGATAGTGAGGCTGGAGGGGCTGGTGGGTACTTACAAGGATGATCATCCTGGAGGTAGGTCAGGGGCCAAAATTTTTCCGGCCTCCTTGACTCAGAATCGTGCTCATTCTAGTAAGGTTTGAAAGATCTCTTTACCTTGAACAAGTTAGCTGACAAAGTTGTCCTTGAACATTAAAACTGATGATGTCACAAGTGATAAAAGGAATGTGGACCTTCACTGGCGGTGATGGGTGGTTCAGGGGTGAATGGGTTACAAAAAATAGTGATGCAAAAGCAAATTAATTCTGGATAGAAATAATTTGAATGCCATTAGTTTACAGTGGTTCTTTCAGCAACTGATCTTGAAACAAACAGAGGTTTTTTTGGGAAAATCCCTCAAAAGTCTCTGATAAAGGTTGGATTAAAAGAGCTTAACAAAATGTTGCAAATTTTGCAAAGAAGTCAGCATGTGCTTCAAAAACAGGTCATTATTTAAGTAAGGATTATGACTAATCAACCATCTAATAAAGCCAGCCCCGCCCATTTTCAGTCCTTGTATGCTGTTGGGAGTAGAACAATGGATAGCTTATAGGTCTATGTGATATCTTGACGTGAAGTGATCCCACTGGACTTTGTTAGTCAGAAATATAAAAAAAATATCACGGTGGCATCTCACTTTCCAAGAGCAATCTAAAAATTAAAAATGTATATTAACCGGTAATAAAATACATCTATAGCTTTATGGATTAATTTACAGTATTTTTGAGAATTGTAGGATTATGATGATATTTTGAGTATGACAAGACAACGTTTGAAAGCTTATAGCTTAGAATGGGAAGCTCCCCCAACCAACACAGGATAATCAAAGCTTTTTTAAATGTCTCTTCTGAATTTTGTCTTTGAATATTAGGAGATGAGATGACTAGACGAGATCTCAGTAGTGTAGACAGTCTTGATGGACTCTGTCCCTCTTCTGGTCTTGCTAGCACAGATGACGACTCCTTAAGTCTTTGCTCAGAGTTTGAACCCAAACCTCAGAAGCTGGAAACTAGGATTGGCATAAATCATTTCAACAGGTACATGTATAAGATCTATTGGCATTCACTCATAATAATTAGCCTTTGGACTGCTGTTAACTCTCCCGGCTAATCTGGGAGACTGCAGATTTTGGACCGTATCTCCCGGTCTCCAGATTAGAGTATAAAGTCTCCCTGATAATCGCTGAAGTTTGCCATTTCTTCAGTGGACTTCACTTTCCAACAGTAAAATTTCAACTATTTTGCATTGTTTGAGCTATTTTATTGTTAACACCAAACGTTTCCTTATAAACTCTGGTATGCCATTGTAATATAAGCAATAATTTGATTAGTGGGAAGTAAGTGAATCAAGTCAAATGTTACAATGCCAACAACATCTTTTTTGTGTGTTTTGTGTCATCACAAATTTGTGACGATCGGAGTCAAGAAATGTTTTTTGCTCAAATGACATCATGTGCTGTGCGTTATGATGCCATCTATCATCCCTTATCAATTCTCAATCATATTATTTGAGGACATGGAGGTTCGACGACCCTGCCTCTGTGGTAGCATAGCATGATTTGGCTATAATTCAAATCCACAATTAACAACCTTGCACCTCAGACTGGCACCCTGCCATTAAGCTATCCAGGAAGTTGCTTTGAAATTCAACCAGTTATTTCAAAGCAGTCTGAGGTGTAAGGCCATGGATTTGAATTCCAGCCAAATCATGCTAACAATAATCAATGACACATTTGTACAGAGAAATTTTATTTATGTGGCCAGCATCTATGCTGGTTTATTGGAACAAAAGAAAATGTTTCCATAAGTTTAGAGTTAGTTGGTACACCGACATATCCACCATTTCATTCTTCTGGAACACCATCATGGCTACCATGATGTCATGTGAAAACACTCTATATATATAACTCATGAAGGCATGGTAACCATGAAATATCGCAATTGAAAAATGTAGCTTGTAAAATTCAGTTTGTTGGAGTAAAATTATTTAATCCCTGTCTGTAGTGTCATGTTTTGCCATCTTTAGACACCCTCCTGTAGTGACTGTTTGTGAAAGGTCAAAATTAAATTGAGGATAACATTTTTAAACCTTGGTCAATTCTCAATTTCCTCAGTTTGCTAGCCCCAATTACTCGTGGGTTAGGCTAGAAGACATAGGAAGTTAGAATCTACCGAGGTTTTAAAAAATAAATGACCTGAATTTAATCTTTGACATAATATATAGCCTAAGTCAGGACTTCAAAATTAAAAAAATCCCTAGGTTGCCTTTTGGCGACCAACTGGAGAGATGCAGTTGCCAGATGCAAACATTTAGTCATCAGTTTGTATAAGGTAAATGATGCAGCTCATAGTGGAGTGCGACCCATCAGATGTGATTGTTTGAAAATATTGTGGACAGAAGTCTGTATTGTTTGTTTTAACTTTACTCTTTCAATTTGGATCTAAATCATAGAGAAATCTGGTCACCAAAGTGGCGACTGAACCAGAATTTTTAGTCGGCAAGGAGAAAATGTTATTGTTAGTCGCATTGGTGACCGTGTCGGTCACAATTTTGAGCCCTGTAAATGCATCTGATCATAATATTTCTGTGTCGTTTGTGCTACCCATACAGGAAGCCAGAGAAAGGTATCAACTACCTTGTTACCCATCAAGTACTGGAAGATAACCCTGAGATGGTAGCAAAGTTTCTGTTGACAGAACCAGGCATTAGTAAACAGAAACTTGGAGAATATCTTGGAAATTTGCAAAATGAATTCAATATGGAAGTGTTGAAGTAAGTACTTAACAATACGTTTGTGTGTTTTTCCTCCTCTGGCTTTTCTTATCTCTAAAATGATGACGTCTTTGCCCATGGCGTTAATTAGCACTAAGGTTGCTGGGGCTGAAAAAGGAATCGAAGGATCCTGTCCTTTTGTCCTCATAATCTCTTAAGTTTTGGTGTCAATGTGAAAAAATGATAAGTTCAGAGTTTTGCTCAGTATTTTGGTTGTAACTTTTATCTCTTAAAAATTATTGTTTCATTTGCAACAGGTACTTTGTGGAAAACTTGGATTTTACTGGCATGGAGGTTGATGAAGCTCTCAGAGTCTATCAGACATGCTTTATCTTGCCTGTAAGTCTGCTACTAAGTATATTTTAATTGCATAAACTTCTTTCTGCAGAAAAGGCCCTCGTACAAGTAGCAGTTATAGCATGGATTGAAAGGAGGTTGGACAATGTTGGACATTATTATAGGGTTTAGTTTAAGATTGCTGGAAGCAGCATTCAAACCACCCTTCTCCTCTTTCCATTAACATTAATTTCAATGAAACTCTTAATTGGATATTAAATACAATGTATGCTGTTTTACCTTTTTTCAAAGGGTGAAGCTCAGAAAATTGAGAAACTTATGCAAGTAAGTCATAATTAATCATTTGAAATAAGTAAATTTAGAAAGAGCTGTCTCTCATAAGCAAATTAATGCTCCAGATTTATTTTATAATCCAAAAGAGAAAAGCAAAAATCAAACTGTTTGGGAAAGTTCATTTAATATGACAAGGGGGGGGGGATGAAGATATTGAAACTCGAAGCTTGAAATTTTAGCAGCCCCCCTCGCTAGCGGTTCAATTTTTTAGAGCCCCCTCCTTGGTAGAAATTTCAGAGCCCCCACCCCTCCTCCTTCAATTCCTTTGCTCCCCTGAAAAAGATCGTTAGACTGTATTAAATATATTTACCGTTATTGTCTTCAATGGTTTATACTATGACAAACTTGAGATACAGTTGTGATACAATTTTCTAAAGCATTTTTGGGATGAACAAGAGTGTAATAATTACTGAGACTACATTTGTTATATCTGTAAACCACGTGATATAGCTGAGTTGCACAGGTCATTAAATTGTTGAGTTGAAAACCATCGGATCTGTATGATGATGTCATGTGTTGGTTTTGAAGTATACAAATTTCGGAGCCCCCCTCCTAGCGCAACAATTTTTTTCAGAGCCCCCCTTCAGGTGTCTAAAAATTTCGGAGCCCCCCCTCAATATCTTCATCCCCCCCCTTGTCATATTAAATGAACTTTCCCTTTCTAAAAGTTTTAAAGCCCAACTGGTTGTTTTCTGCTTGGGCCTGGGAACAAGGTTTGCAGAGTTGATGGTATTATTTAATCCTGTAGTTTTCCATTTATCTGTGCAGGATCACGTATCTTTATGGCAATTAAACATTCTCGGCTACTTTTTTAAGGTGGTGTCTTTTGTTTATATTACCTTTGAAAATTGCCATGTGGCTGGGCTTGTCCTTGCATAATGTTCTCATCTAAATCTGAAATATCTTAAATTTTTGTGAAACCTTGATTTTAGGAATTTTTTAGGAATGGAGCGCATTTTGGTTTTCATGACATAAATCGTAAAGGAAAGAACTGAAGTGCATTTGCTTGAGGGAATATATATATTTTTGTTTACACTTCTCAGTTAACATTAATGTTCGTGATGCTTGGACCTGTTTTAGTACAGTTTGTCCTCTGATATGGCATTCAAAACCTTTATTTTCTTGCTACAGTGTTTAACTGTTTGTTTATTGTTTGCAGGATTTTGCGGAGCACTACGTCAACTGTAATCCCTCAACTGAGAAAGGAGCAGTGGATGCAATCCTTATTTTGGCCTTTGCTATTGTCATGTTGAACACAGATCTGCATAGTCCAAATGTGAAAAGAAGAATGACTGAAATGGACTTTATCAATAACCTTAGAGGTAAAAGTTTTTTAAAACTAATGGTAGAGTACTTGAAAAATGTTTGCTCTTATGGGGTACATTATTTCAGGGCCCTGTTCTATACTCTGTTGAAACTCACAAGAATAAATTAACAGACTCTAGTTGAGCGTTTTGTACATTTTAATACAAAATACAATTTAGTGGCAAATATGCAAAACAGCCCTAAATGTGTTGTCATGGAAACAAGGTACATGGTTGATACTGCATCACAAGAGTTGCCCATTGAAGAAAAGACATTTTTGAAGTTTGCCTTCTCCTCTGCTTTATTTTTTTTCTCAAACGATGCTAATGGCACAAGTAACTTTGCCGATTTTCTTACAAACATGTGTATTTCTAACTGTGTGAGAAGTGTTTTTTTTTTTTCAAACCATGGTTGGCTCTATGTGAAGTGGACTTTTGTTGACTTTTGTTATTGTGACGTATCAAATTGCTATTTTTAACAATTATGTGGGTGGTCATTTACCCTTGGCTTACAAATTATTGCTATAATAATTACAGACCGACATGAATTCAAATTCTGGCTTGTGAGTGTTTTTTTTTCCCTTTCATCGTCTATTGTTTTCGTTGTTTGTTGTTGTTTTTTTTATTTCTCCTTGTTTTTATTGTTTATCATGCCTCTTAAACTTGTTAAACTACAAACACAAAAAAACTGTTGGACTAGTCATTATTCAAAGAGTTGTGAGGGGATGCAGTATTGAAGGGAGACAGAAGACAGTTAGTAATTCACTTGTCTCTATTTCTGAAATAAAGGCTAATCTTTGACTCAGTGCTTTTTGATTTTTTCATTGTACATGTATATGTTGTGGTTCAAATTTAATCTTTGGTTTGAATTTTTTTAATTTAGGAACCAATAATGGCGGAGATTTTCCCCAGGAAAGCCTTCTAGCAATCTACAACAGAATAAAGAAGGTACAATATTTATTATAATAATAAAGATTAGCGGCTGAATAATGAGATCACCTACAGTGTATATACCGTAAAATTCCAAAAATAAGCCCCTAGGCTTATATTTTTCAAAGGCCCTTTTTGAGGGGCTTATCTATGGAGGGAAATTTGCATTTCAAAATCAATTGGGCTAGTCAAATAGTTGGAAGGAAACTTGCCATTTTTGCTTTGTTTTACTTTGTATTTGAGGGCAATTTTCAAGCACAAGCCCCGGGGAGGGGGAGGGGGGCTTATATTTGGAGGGGCAATTTAATGGAGGGTTTTTTGCGGTACGAGTTTGGGGGGCTTATATTTGGAGGGGCTTATACATGGAGGGGCTTATTTTCGGATTTTTACGGTGATCATAATAAAATTTGTTATTATTTTGGATGGCTGGCAGTCCTTTAAGCATCTTTATCGATAATGTTATCATACTTGACTGCTGTTTTTTTTGACAAATAGTAGACTTAGGGACTTGTCGGAAATTAGCAGGGGGGAGGGGGGTTGAAACAGAGGGAGGGTCACAACTTTTTGAGACTCAGAAAAGGGAGGAGTCATAAAAAATGGGCCCTTAAAAGGGGGAGGGTCATGCAAATGTATGCCCGTGATCATATAGAGGTTCGCCCACAGAAGGAAAATGAAGCTCTTTGTCTGGTAAAAAAAACTGGGAGAAATAGGAGAGTCGAGTGATCAGCTGTCAGAATCAGAGTCGGACTTTTAATGCTGTGATCTAAAATGTATATATATAGCATTACAAAGAACAGATTAGAAATATATTTTGAGTTTTCATAATACTGACTCACCCTAGTGTATTGCAAGAACTAGATTTTGTCATTTATACAAGAGGGGGAGGGTCTTGATATTTTAGGCCAAGCTTAAGGGGAGGGTTAGCAAATTTCACTCCCATTGCAGGGATGGGTCACCTATTTCCGAACCCAAATTTAAAATTCCCAACCCCCGCTCCCCCCTGCTAATTTCTGACAAGTCCCTTGCTGGGGCACCAATGTTTAACCTAAATCCTTAAGCATTTGAAAATAGGTTTATCTTGATGGAATCAGTTGACACTTCTAACTTATTTTTATTTCACAGAAGGCATTTGTGACTGGCAAGGATCATGTCAGTGCTGTTCAAAAGCTTGCCAAAAAAATTGTGGGAACCAAATCACCTTGGACAGTAAGCTGCTGCTAGCTTATTCTTTTATCAACTTATTATTTTATTGACTGTAAACTCTGTTGTTTCTTGGCTGTTTTTATTCATACTGTTGTTGTGTTTAGACATTAGCAGCCCTTCACAGACAGCTCAGAATGTTAACTCCCCTCTACATCATACGTGATCCAAACAAGAAGGAAAAACCTCATCCAAGAACTATCTTCCTCTTCAATGATATGCTTGTTGTAAGTATGCACCAGTCAGGGTTATTCTGTCCTATCATGAAATTACAAACAATATAAATTGTATGGCTTGTTTGTTTTGTTTTTAGGCTGCCAAGGAACGTGGCAGAGCTGGTCGTTCAGAAGGAATTCATTATTACAGCTTTAAGCAGTCTTTTTCTTTGTGTGGGCTTAAAGTTACCACTTTTTCCAATGACTGTAAGTTGTTGATATTTTCTGTCCATGATGCACCTTCAGTTTCTATTTTGCACATGTCTGTCCAGCAATGTTCTTTGCGGAACAGCATGCATATTATGGACGAAAAAAGTCTGTAAAGCTTAAACAAAGGAAGCCTGCATATGAATGCTGTTCCCAGCGCCGTATTTTGCTTACATCTAAAGAAAAGGAGAACCTTTGGTATGGCAGAGGTGCTAGATAGATAGCCCAGCAATGAAATTCTTCTTGGAAGCTGTATGTAATTTCTGGCCACACAGTTTTATATAAGATTAATCTCTCTTTATTTTTGTTTACAGATTATGCATTTGGAATTCAAATATATTCTAAGCTGGATAGCAAGGTATTTGTAGTGTATGGAGAGATTTTTATTGCCTTGTATCACAAATGTGGCTTCCATGCACCACAATTTGGTTTGGACCAAGTTGGTCACTGATGGAACATGACTGAAAAATTGTGCAGGGGCTGGAAGAGAGGTGTCTGATCTGTCTGGTTAGGAGAGAGTTAACTGTATGTCTTCCCCCTTCCCCCATTGTCATCATCTGTTCATAATCCACCTTGAATTAACCGTGGGTCAAATTGAGTTGACTTGAGATTGATCATTCCATCCTAGTTGTACTCAGTTGTGCTTCAGTGTTTTACCAGTTGCAATTTTTTTATAGATTCTTGCCCACTTCAATGCAAGAGATGAACAAATAAGAAAGGTGTTCTTCGATGAACTTCAGGACTGCATTGAGGAGGTACTGTGTACATGAATACTACACAGCAATTTTCTAGTTAATGTCAATATTATTAAGGGCCGCATAAAACTTAATAGTCTGAAATGTCAACCATCTCCACCCCTGAACCCATGGGGGGACTGGGGATGGGGGGAGGGGGGTGGAGATAGCTGACATTTCAGACTAAGAACTTAAACCTTAGAAGAAATTATTAATATATTGATTTTGCCAAAGAGAATAGATGCAGGCTACAAAAGAACCAATCGGAACGAAAACAAATACTGTGCTAAGTATTATTTTTTAAACGTTGGGGAATTGCACAGTTTTAGATTTGTTGTTGTAGAAATAGTTTAAGAAAAGTGCTTTTGTCTGTTTCAACTTTATGTTGCATGAATTATTCATTGTTTGCACAATCTTGAAAAAGTTTTGAATTTTTATTAGTCTTGAAAATTCCTTGAATTCGGTTAAGGTCCCTTAAAAGTACTTGACTTCTTTATTAGATCTTGAAAAATCCTTGAAATTAACTACTTTGTTTACACCACACCATTTTCCAGCGCGCAAGGAAAGTGGTGTCAGATAGCCTGGGGCTAGTGGATTTTGCTACCGGGCTAGTGATTTCTATTCTTTACTTGCCTGATGGGCAAATGAAGTTTTTTGGGGGAATTCAAATTACAGAAGAACTGTAACCAATGCTCATCAATTTTTCGGGCTAGTTGAAATGACTTTTGGGCTAGTGCGTGCTAGCTACAGCTTTCCCGAATGGCAAGCTGTAAAACTGACTTTCTTTGCGATTTTCTGTAAAAAATAGATCATTTTCCTGTAGAAAATTTGGCTCATCCTTGGTGTAAGAACCTGCAAAACTCACAAGTAGTGTAAAAACATTTTAGTGCATTCAGAATATTTTATTTCTGTTTCTAACAATTCCAAATGCTATTCCTGTCCCTAAGGTGCAACTGCAAGTCATACCCTGTAACTGTAGTCATTTTGCAAAGTGTTGTTACGAAGAGTAGTGTAAAGTAATGTGATCAACCATGGCTGATCCTAAATGACTCCCTTGAGTGTTTTAGCTGATAAGGCGTTCAAAATGGGGTCAAAGAATGCCGATTTATTGAATAAATCCTGGTCCTTGAAAACTGTAATTAATCCTTGAAATATCCTTGAATTTTGTTCTCCGTAAGTTGTACAAACCATGTTATTCTCTGCCCATGTGAGCATGTTTATGGTGGATCATTTTTTCTTTCAGACAAATGAAATGGAGAGTGACAGAATAAGTAAGTGGAAGAGTTCTTTATTTTCAATTTTCTTTAGGGTAATTTTGTAGACTTCTGGAATATTTCTCTTTTTTGGCTGATGTGCAGGTCTACCACTGCATTATGGTGACAGTGTTGGGAATCTGCTGAGAATTCATAATCAATCATTTGAATTAATCAAATTGACCCACCCGGTCTATCATGGATTAAAATAATAGAAAAACCTTGTTATAAGAAAATTTTCCATGAAGGGTGGATGCTTTGCCATGTTTTAGAACACGACAAAACAATATGAAGCGTATCAGAAAAGGGACCTTAGTGGATTTGACCCTACTCGCTATAGATTTCCAGTAGCTTAGTAGAACTTGGAGGATCATGAGTTAGATTCTTGCCTGAAGCTTGACATTTTCTGTGCTTTCGGGTGATGAGATTCTCTCTCAACCCACAAGTTTTTAATAATGTGTATTTGCGAACAAAACAATTTTTTGCATCATAATCAATTGAACGTTATTCATAGTCTGTAATTCCAATGTATTATAATATTATATTTTGATCTGTGATTGATTATAATTGATGATTAGCACATCTGATTCACTAGTCATAAAAACTCTCATATTATACTTGATTTTAACAGCAACAGAGAAACAAAAGCATCTTGGTGCAAGATTCAACAGATCTGGGGTAGATCTAAGTCGTTCATCTTTGACGTTACCCAAGAAACTAAAGAAGCCTACTCCTGACACCATTAGTTTGATTGACAGTTCCAGTTCAATGGAGTCCCTGAGTACAGCTGGTCTGTTGGGATCCAAACAACTGTCTAGTTCTCTGTTAAACATCAATGAAAACACTGGTATGTTTGACCTTCTTTCACTTGTAATCTGATCACATGCATTGTGACCCTGTATCACTCAAATGGTACACAAAGCACAGCATTGGAGCAAGAGCGTTTCCATCTATCCTGCCTGCACTCCCCTACCTTTGGTTATTACTAGTTTCTAGGCATCATATTTCCCCATATGGGGCTTAATAGGGTGGTGGTGAGATGAATGACTCCTGGAAATTTTTAACAAGTGAGGTACAGACTTATCGTTCCAATTCTTGGAGTCCACAATATCCTCATTTTGCTATTAGATTAGAAAAGGATAATCTGAAGGAAGCAAACTTGGCACCCATTTTGTCACTCATATTGAAGCACACAGGTAGCTAGCCCAAGCTTCTTGGGAGATGTCAACTTGAATTATTGTGAGATTGCATAACATCATTTCATGAAAATGGGTTATTCCAGAAAAAATCCACACCCCCCCGACGGATGGGGTCCTTTTTTAACCCCCCCTCTCACCTGGATTTCCTGAAGCACAAGACCCCCCCTCCCAACTGGATTTCCAAGGTGGAAGACCCCCCCTCCCGCCTGGATTTCCGGGAAAAAATAAAAGGCTTAAATTTAATTTATTTTTAATGGAAAATACACGCAAACACGTCTAAATGTTTTTGTTTTAATTTCTAAAGCTTCAGCTTATATTAAACTAAGAATTCTATCGCGTGGAACTAAAAACGAAAGGAGCAAAAAACAAAAATGCGAACAACACCTGAACGAGTGTTTACATAATTTCTTAGCTTATAAAAATCACTCTTCGCTCTTCGCGCGCGGGCTCTGGGTACGAGTAGAAATGTGTCAGGCGTTTGACGCTCTTCGTGACAACAACGTTGCGACGAGTTCCTTCAGGCCCGTTCTTTAGTATCTTGTTCGCGTTTTCTGCTATAAAAGGACCTGTAAAGCAACTTAGATTATCATTTATGTCAGGTGAGAAATATATGAACAAAACATTTTGACTATTTTCAGGGTCTGAAAGCGCTTAAGTGTCATCGAACTAAACGTTTGATTTGTATCAACTATCGGTCGAAATGACCCCTGCAGAAGACTTTTTTAAGGTCAACCCCCCCTCCCGCCTGGATTTCCGGAGTCTTCGACCCCCCCTCCCGCGAGAATTTCCAGAATCCCATCCGTCGGGGGGGTGTGGATTTTTTCTGGAACAACCCAATGTAACAACAACTTTTTTAACCTTCTTCCCAGTTGTCCAACTACTAGTTTATTATATAGCTTACCTTATCTTAGATAAACTTGTTTCCTTGTGTTTCAAGGACATATAAGTATTTGAATTTTTTTTTTGCTTCCTAGAATTTACCTCAGAGCTCAAGAAAAGCAGTAGTATATCATCTCTAGACAGTGCTTTTACTGATGGAGTAAGTCTGTTAAAATTTGTTCCTTTTAATATCAAAGATTTGAATTTCTAATCTTAAGAGTGTGGGGGGAGAGGATGGGGTTAGCTTAGCCTTAGAGAATCCCCACCCTACCATGGAGATGTGGTTCAAATGAGATTAAATCTCTTACCCTAACTACGTGCCGTTGCTTCGTGTAAGTATATTTTACATGTATGTCCCCTTGCTTTGTTAAACAAAACGGAAACACTGAGAAAACAGCCAGCATTTCACAATGCCACCATGAAATGACATCTGAGAAATGAGTGCAGAAATACCATACTGATTGTATGTCACTACCCAGATCAGGGTAGTGCTTCTGATTGGTTGAGGCAAATTTTTAGCCAATCAGATGCACTACCCAGATCTGTGAAGTGTTGCATCATCAGTACAGAATTGGTGGTGTTGCAAAATATCGGCTGTTTTCTCACTGGGCTATGATAGGTTGAAACAAGGCCATGACAATAACAACAAGATGGAGCCTTTCTTAGTTAAACTAACCAACTATATATCCTTGGATTTAATCAATTTATTGGCTTCACCATTTTATCTTTTTTAAAACAGAAGAATGTTATGCTGATAGACTCGTGAATCTTTAAGTAACGTTAAGTATAATAATGCTAACTCTTTACTAATCATTTAACGCAAAACAGTTAATAAACGGAGGTCCTGGAAAGATTGAAAAATTTGGTGGCAAGACTAAACGGGAGAAAGGAAAGCGAAGAAAATCTGAATCTAAAGACACAGTGAGCATGAGTCGACTTCTACACATTGGGAGTGAGTATAAGGCACAATTCAATGGCAAGATAGAAAAAATGGAACAAAATTTAATATATTAACAAGCTATACTTATACTGATGTTACATTGATTAAACTCTTTAAATGTTTGTATGCTTTTATTCTGCTGAGTGTGAATGGATTATCTTGGAGGAGAGAAAAGGAAGTTGTAGCACCATAGGCAGCTGCGCACCAATAAAAAGTTTAACGTGCCAGTGTGCAAGACTGATCGTCTTAAAAAATCTTTTATTGTTAGCCATAGCCTAAGAATGTAAATAAATTTGTTTAAGTATGTATATTTTCCTAACACAAGGTTATCCTAAGTGAAATGTTTTTATTAGATTTGTACATTTTTATTATTATAGTTTTTTAAATCCATTTTAACTATAACTTGTATATTATACACGTAATTCAGTCTTCGGACTGCAAGGTGTTTCTTTTTTTTAATAAACGATTTATCTATCTTTATCTATCTATCTGTATTACTGTGGCTGATATTTAGAAGACCTTAGTGGATACTTGTGTCTTGTTTATGGAACCAATTAGCATTTTGGCTTTAAGAGGCTGCCAATAATTGAATGTTAATTCAATCAAACTACTATTATAATAAATTATCTTAACCAAAATATAATACTTTACAGTTTAAGCCACCCTCTGAGAAGGGACAAGTGGCCACTGATCGTGAAAAGAGGTTCTGTTTACAGTGATTAACTGACTTATTGAATTCTGTCTGATATGACACTTGTATTTGGCTACTTAATTTGCTTTTAACCTTTTTATGGCTACATTAGCTATGCTTAGTTTTTGGCAAGACCATTTCTTTTGCCGAGTCTTAAAAGCTGTCATGGCAAGTCTCTGTTGAAAACAGTATTACAATAGACTATATAGGTGCAGCAATGGTGTGAGGCCCCAGCTTGAAATCACCTGACTACAAACTTGGCACATTAAACCCTATGACCAAACTGTCTTCAGGAATGCAAATTGTGTTATTGTCATTTTCTTAAAGGATTCTGATCAGACAATCTTAGAAGACCTGCACAGTTCAACATTTCACAGAGGGGGGATTTTTAGAAAATGGCGGCACAGACACAATACAAAAAGCATGTCAAGACGACCATCACCAAAGATGAGCCCCATTGCCACTCCAGTAGAAAGAAAATATTCAACACCGACATAAACTTACTGGCATACCGGTGTTCAAATGAGCTGAACAGGCTGTCCTTCACTAGTATTTGGGATGGTTATGACAGTTTGGAATGTCAGTCTTCAGATTTTTCAGGCACATGGATTATGATGAATGATATTTTAGACTGGGCAAGGTATTTTTCTGAGCAGATCATAGTAGGTCTTTTCAGTTAGAGATTTAGTTACTTTCACTGGGAAACACAGAAAACCATGAGCACCAAAAATATTTTTGGAATACTTTTGTTTGCAAAGAAAAGTTGATCAGGGTTGTTAGACAGTTGTTGATAAGGTTAATTAATAATTAATCAGTAATAACTAGTACAACCACAAGCTTGTGTCTTTTGTGATTGGTCACTGCACAATCTACATTCCAGAAATAGGGGGTGGGGGAGAGATTTGATTGGTGGGTGTTAATATTGTCACTCAAACTCAGATTGTATCATTCCAGAAAATACTCATACTTTCTCATGAAGGTTTTTTTCACCCTCCCCACCCATCTGAAAACTCCAATTTAGTTTGACTAAAAAAATTTTGGCCTTTAGGACCCCCTGCCAACCCCACTGAAACCTTGAAAGACCCTTCATGGGCTGGTTAGGATGTTTTCTGGAACTATAGATGTGAAACTAAGGGATGGTAAAACCGGCAGCAAAAGTGCGCATCTTGTTTTGAAACATTGGTGCAAAACAAGTCGAAAAGTGATGTGTTGATATACCACCCACATTCAAACCTATCTTGCAACAAATCAGCTTGTTGCAGGTTGCACAAATTTGTTGCAGAAAGTAGAGAGTAGTTCTTTTTTTTGCGACAAAATCTGTACATGTTGTGTGTTTTACCAGCCCAAGGCAAACTTGTTTTGCTGCAAGTGACGTAACTCCCATGTATGGCATGACTCCTGCGTAATTTTATCCAATCAGAAATTAGAATTCACGCAACTTGCAACAACCTTATTTGTTACCAGACAGGTTTGAACATGGGTGGTAAAACACGCAACATTGCTTTTCAACATGTTCTGCAGCAATGTTGCAAAACAAGTTGCATGTTTTTGTTGCCCATTTTACCCATAGCTTAAGAATCATTTTTTGCTTGTTCTGAAGCTTCATTTTGTTGGTATTTATTTACAGTCGTAAAGTTGACAGCTGTGTCATGGTTAAAACACCACATACATTATTTCATTTTCTTATATTATTATTTTTACTTGCATTCATCGCTGCACGCCTGTGCATACGTATTTCAGGCATGTGAATCACACTTCCATTAAGACGAAATGAGTGACGTGCCATTGTGTAGCCTGACAAAATAACCTACAGTTCACGACACCACCAGATGTGAGAACTGATGGCAGGTAGCGATGTGTCATCAGTACATAGAATTTCTGTGCTCAATCCTCAGATGTCGTCGTGAAACCAGTGGCATCATATCATAAAATGGCAGCTGTTTTCTCAGGCTAGCCAGTGTGTTAAATAACCAACCTATTTTTCATTCCTTCACCACTTCCAATTTGTTGCTAGCCATCATTTTTTATTTTTCTCAAATAATGCATTACACAGTGAACTAGATGTTTTTCTCAGCTGTCACTTGTCTCCAGTGAAAGTGATAGCCAGAAATGTGTTTTGTTCACAGGCTAATATTGCATTTTTACATGTCCATTAATGTTAAGAGGGTACATGTACAAAAATCAGAAATTAATCAGGCTTGAATGACTGACTGTGAATTCTGTGGAGTAGTCTTGCTTGTTTATATCCTCTGGACATAAAATAATATTATTTAAAGTATATTATAGTAGATTAAACAGATCATTTGTTCATTGTAATCTCTCAATCCTGAATATCAACATGCATGTTCTCCAAACTGTTCTCAATACATTTCTCTCATGCCCAATGAGAATTTGCTTAAATATCGATTTATCTTTGGAGATAATTTCCCTTATACTCGCAACCTGTATGTTTGATTAGATGGTCATAATAATTATCAGGAGAAATAAGATGCTGATGACCCATGGCTTGAAGAGTTGCTAATTCAGTGGGACTGGTTTTCATTCAAAAATTCTATTTTTATCAATATTTGTATACATCACATTAAAATTGAATTACAATTCAAATCATTATTGAAATAGGCAGGTTGAAAAATTTGGCTGTTGACAGTAATCTATTTTTTCAGCAGGTCTCCTATTTTAAACTTGTAAATAAACTTAGCTGGAGATCTTCAAGGTTATAATATTGTAAATGCTAGAAATGCCTAAAATATATTTAGCCAGAGAAATTGTCCATTCCTACTGTTTTCTAGTGTAGGGTAAATGAATTCTTGTAAATTAAGGTTAAAAATTCAATAAAAGGTCTTAAAGCTGTATTTTGTTTTTCCGAGATTTATTTCTGTTCTCTTTTAGCTACCATCTTGGACAAAAAGTGCTAAGAATTTTGCACTTTCATACCCCCAAAGTCAAAGTGGTCAAAGTTGTTTAGTCAGAATCAGAAATGATCCAGCTGGACTTCAACATTGTGTTTTGGGGGGAAGGGGGAGTATTTGTAGTTGTCAGTGCTTTCAAGAGCTTTATCTTGAAACTAGACATGGGGTCTCAATCATGCCTATGGAGATGACGTGACACAGGTTGTCACAATGTCCATCTCTGTCAACATCAGTCCTATTCAGGACTACATATTCCATCATATTCCACCTACTTATGAAATGACTCCGGGGTTCAAACCTTTCACTGTTCTAAAATAATACTTCTCCCAGGTTACAAAGGAATTTAACATGAATTTGAAATATCCTTTATTGGCTTATGTTAAGAGTTAACCACCACTGCTACCACTGCATGAAAAATTGTTAACAATATTTACAAAATCTCATCCTACTGGTGCACTTAAATTCCATTTAAAAATACTTAGTATCCAAAGACTAATAAATTTATTATGTTATGCATCAGTCAATTTCACCTGCGAACAACCCCCCCCTCCCGGGCTACTGCAGGGCACATGCCCACTTTGTCAGTCACGCAGTCACGGGGCCAGGGGTGGGGCATTTGTAAATTTTGCACTGCCCTGGGACCCGCATTTGCCAACCCCAGGGCCATTCCCGAGCTTTTGACCTGCACACGGTTTCCTATCAGAATATAACTACACAAACGGTTTCATCTGTCAAGGCCAGGAATAAATTGTAGAGGGTTGTAAAGGCATATGTTCTCGATTTTATGTATGCATTTCTTGATTGCTTATGAAGCCAGAATTACATAGCGAAATTGGAGCTATCGATGTGAATCAACTTTTTTTGGTTATTAAATCAAATTGCTGTTGATATTATTTGAAGAATGTTACAAAACTATTCATAACATATAACTTTACAGCGCTCTATTGATTTTAATGTCAATAATTTTACATCAGTACTAAAACCATAAACTGGTGCATGTCATCGCGGCGTGAAGTCTTAATTAGAATCCTAGCGTTATCACAAAGGAAGATGTTAATTGACACAAAAAATCACATATTAAAATGCTTAAAATGGCACTATTTGACTGTGCGTTCAATGAAAAATGTTGCAGTGCAGTGTTGACGGAGGATGAGGCATTTGCCCTCTTTTTGCGTCCCCACCGTGAAGGATTTGACAGCTCAAGAGTCCCCACCCCCAGGAATTTGCCATCCAAGGCAAAAAAAATGCTAATGCACCCAGCCCCCCCCCCCTTCCAAGGAGGGGGGCTGGGCGCAGGTGGAATTGACTGATGCATTACTCATGCGTTAAAATTACTTGGCTTATTAAAGTTCAAAGTGGTAAAAAGGTCAGCAGAAAAAAAAAACAAGTTTATCCCATGTGTCTGATATCATTTTCTAATGAA